AGTTTTGGCGATTCTTTCATTCGAATTTCCGAACGGTGCGACACGTAAGTGCGGAGCTAATTTACTGTGGTATAGCCAAAGCCTTAACTAGGGCGGTGCCAACGGTACCCGGAAGAAATGATTACACCAGAACGTTTGGGTACATTTTTCCGTGATAGCTCAGTGACCGGGCGCTCGCTCGGTATACACGAGCAACTGTTTCGGTGCCGGCACCAATGAAATTATTATTTGCAATTTTTATTGCTGACTTATCACGTGCTCAGCAGCGAAGGAAAACTTTGGGTAAGCTGCATATTTAATAGATAGATAGATAGATAGATTGTCTTTATTTGTAAAAACATGGTATACATACATTGCATGCAAGATATTAAATATACATTGTCCTATCATGTAGCATAAACACATCAGATAATAAACATAACTGTTTCTAAGATGTATAATGCGGGCAAAGTCAATATTTTAAGTTCTTTAAAATGTGATCTGCAACTATCTGTTGTTTTAAGTGCTAGCATTGATCGAATGCATCTCTTCTGCGCCCGAAAGGCCATTTCAATGTTTGTGCTGTTGCCCCAGAATATAACTCCATATCTTAGTGTTGACTCTGCTAACCCATAGTAGGCTGTAATTAGCGCATCTCTATTAAGAACCACTGCAAGTTGTTTTAGTGCGTACACCACACTGCTTAATTTTTTGCAAACTGTCTCTATTTGTTTTTTTCAATTTAACTTATTGTCTATTACTAAACCTAGAAATTTTGTTGTGTCAACTTCATTAATATTATTTTTATCATTATCACAATTAATATTAAGATTTTCAAATTTATGTGTCCGTTTTCCGAAATGCATTATGTATGTCTTATTTAAATTCATGATCAAATTATTATTACTTAACCAATTTTTAATAGATATTAGTGAACTTTTAATATCATTTTCGTATTTATCTTTGTCTTTGCATGCTATTGTCACAGTACAATCATCTGCGTTTACGCAACAACAATAAAAAAATATTTATTATAAATTTGAAGTCTGCCAATCCGCACTACCCGTGGCAGACTATGACCTTATACCCTTTGTCCAGAGGTCTTTGCTCAACATTGGGACATGTATAGGCTTTACTTTACTTCACTATGATTTTGGATGATATATTTATTTTCACATACATATATTGTTCTTATAGTTGAAGTATTACTATTTATTATAGTTAATCATTTCATCTTTTTCAAGGTTTTTATATAGGTAGTTTACTTCAAGTGAACCATACGTTTGCAACCTTCTCCAATAAAAGAGTACGTATCAATGAGCCGTGATAGCTCAGTGTCCGGGCGCTCGCCTTTAATTCTATATACTCGAGCAACCTGAGTTCGATCCCCGGTGCCGGCAACAATGAAGTTTTTAACTTTAAGTGCTGACTTATCACGTGCTCCGCGGTGAAGGAAAACATCGTGAGGAAACCTGCATATTTTTATACAAAAATAAATATATTTCGAAGATATGTGAAGTCCGCCAATCCGCAGTGGGGCCACGTGGTGGACTATGCCCTGATACCCTCTGTATAGAGGAGGCCGTTGCCCAGCAGTGGGACATGCTGTTACTTTATCAATGAACCGTACATACATATCAGCAATGTACTGACGCCGCGGCACCTAGTGGGTCCACGAACGTCCCTTATGTGTCCTTTCGGTGTGTTTCAACGACCTTATCGCTTGCAGGTTTAGTTCCGAACATGCGAAAAGGCCAATCGATACACCAGAAACAGGAAAGAGTGTGCACGACCGCAGCATCGCACCGGTTTCTCTGCAGACCGGTCTCATGCGAATCGGCGGTAGGCCGGCGTCCTCAGAGCTTCGAACGGGTTTTTGTTTTATGTGCGAAAGTGGCAAACGAGCTGGCGGTTCACCTGATGTTAAGTGATAATCGCAGCCTATAGACATTTGCAACACCCGTAGGGTTGCAAACGCGTTGCCACCTTTTAATAAAGTGGACCCCGGCTTCCTCAATCACCAGAAGTAAGTGTAACACGTCTACTTTGCGCCGGTCTTCTGTGAGGTCGTGGTACTTCCCCGGACGGACCTGCCCATTCGTGCAACAGAGGACACTGTTGCGTGGCCCTACCACAGTTGGTATTGGTCCGAATTGGTAGGAACTTTTTGACTTTTCCTTAAAGAAATTACTTTTGCATTCTGGACTGACTTCCAACAACTTGGAATAAAGGAAATATTAAGGCAAATAGAGTTAGAGAACGTCGACCATAATAATATTAATAATTAATAATTCTGTTTTAAAATAATTAAGTAATTCTGTTTTAAATTTTGTGTAAAACAAAATGTTTCTAAATTTGTTTCGAATGACGACCTATATAGTAAGTAGTGTTAACACTTATTGATCAAATTTTGAATAATGCATCATGGTAATAAGTCCGCATTTGTATATTTTAGTGAATGAAGAATAAATAAACTGTTATACACTGTTTGAACATGGATTGGATGATTCGGTGGCGTAGTTAAGTCATTAGCTTCGGCGCTAGGGGTCGTGGATTTGATTCCAACACTGGAAAAGTATTTTACCCACAGATGAGTGTTCCGAAAAAGAGCTATATCAAAGGGACAAGCTACGGTGTTTCAAACTTTCCTAACGACATTGTCTATCCAGGCTACCGCAAATTTTTTCATTGTTTATTTTTATCCGATCTACACAGAATGACAACAGTATCTTGAAGTGTTATTTTTTTATTTAATTGTACACCAAACAATATTACGTGAAGGTACAATTGGCGACCTTATCGCTTAGAAGCGATTTCTTGCAGGCAACGGTGTTACAGAGGATACAATGACCAATGAGGAGGGGTTGAGGTGTACGCTATTGTAAATATAACTATTGGCATGAGCCCCAAGAGAATTTTTTAAATATAATTGTTATATAACATTGTAAATAATAGGGTGTGTGTTAATTTAAACGGGCCTCCGATCTGAATAGCCTGGCCACTTGAATCGTCCAAAGGTCCGATGTTCTTTGCAAGGATCCAAAGTAGACGTGGCACAGTAAAGACTTACACGTCGACTATCCGCCACAGACATAACAGCACACGATATTGCGCCCGTATGTTTTTAATGCGTTAAATATAATAACGGGCGCAGACTGCGCGGAGTGAAACTCGTGAAAGTCTTCATAATCTGTGCCCGTTCGGGGGCAACGGTACGGCGGTAGACAAATAAAGTTTTTTTGGGAAACGTGTTAACGTTTGGTTGAGCTTGCGACTTTACGCCACAGAGCAATAATGAAAATAAAGTTAATTATTTACGCTCTACGAAATATGTATTGCTCGAGTCTTCGCGTTAACTTAATTTAATGCTTGTCGCTCGCGGTACTAAAGGTTTGCAACTGTTTTTTTTTAAATGGAAAATAAGGCAAATGGTATAACGGCTTGGATCACTACCCATAGGCATACGCTAGCCAACGACAGCTGTAAATGCGTTGCCTGTTTTTTTTAGTAGCAGACATTCAAAACAACATCATGTTTAAGTACGGCTGCAATTTATCTGATCGTGTGTTAATTCGTAGTTATTATACAAAAACTGCATTACTGAATTCAGCGACTTTGACGGAATTATTGCATTTAATTTAGCCTCCGACGTTTCGACGTGAAGTTCCCGTCTTTCGATGTTTCCTTCTCAAAAATCTTTTATATTTACGCGAACGCTATCAAACGAGCAATATTATTGGGATAAAATAGCTTTTTCGACTTCTATCCGCCTTTTTGGCTTCTGTGTGGACAGGTATTTGTGTGGTAATATATAATTATTCCGGAATAATATAATTATTCCGGAAAGAGGTGTTAATTAATAAATAGCCGGAAGGAGGGTTCTCGTTGTGCAAAGGAAAACCCAGCCAATGTTATTAATAACATGACTCACGTGTTGTACCGAACTTACTTAGCAATAACTACAGGAGAAAGAAGTCTTAAGTATACCCGCAACCAGGTAGACTGCGGGTTAAGGAGGTCCAAAAAATGAAATGTGAATGTGTTTGCGCAATGGCCACTGAGATTCGAATTCGCGACCTTAAGAACGTTAAGCCGACATCCCAGCCAATAAGCCACCACCGCCCGGTTGATCTGGCACGATGAAGAAACTTCAAAAATTGAGGACCCGATTTACCTATCTCATCAATTTTGTGTTTCATTCATATTGTTAAATTTCTATACGACTAAATATGAAATAAATAGATAAAAATAGGTAATGATTAAAGATTGTTTTTGCTATTTCAAACACGGCGAACTTATATTATCAAAATCCGAACGACAAGTTTATGTTTATTACACTCCCGATAAGGCTTCTGTTTTCCAAATATTTTAGCCGATTAGACGTTTGCGTTTCAAGGAATATCGTAATAACGTGTAATATATCGTAATTCGACCGTGAGAATTAGCGCCGAGCTGCACATAGTCGCCGTCATACGAAATACGATGTCGGAACATTAGTAATCCGTTACAAGAAGCCGGCTAAATTGTATTATACAATTATCGATTCGAACCCAAACCATCGACTTCCGAGCTTATGTTTAGCCTAAGCCGCTTTTCAGGATCATCGTGTTACTTCAATATGTACATTGTAAACATTCTAAACGGTAAGTGATCGAACAGTTTTAAATGAAAGAGCAGATATCTTAAGAAACATATTTTAATAGTGAAGTTATTAATATGCAGGTTCGTAATTGAAATTTAATGAGAGACATCACCGTTTCTTGATAAATCATTAAAAACTCGATATTAGGAATAAGTTAAAAAATAATGATACACACGCAACTCACGTCAAATGTATACAGCATTCTTTGAGTCGTCTTATGTATATTAAAGCAAACGAAACTATTTAGCAGAAAAAAAAACATCGAAAAGGTCGTTGTATTCATCCAACACTCACGGATGCTGTCATTTGACGTCGCCTCGGGCGTTCGGACCGGGAATAACGCTACAAAAATAATAAGGTAATAGCAGACGCCACTTACCCTTGCGTGATTTCCAATACAATTTCCTGAAGTAATAAGCGGCCGCGACCAACAAAAGTGCTCCAATGAACGCACCGACAGCCGCACCAGCCACGCTACCAGCACCAAAACACTCTGCTTGCGCTTGCCCCCAAACACAAGGCAGCAAGACGGTCACAAGAAACAACCTCGATACGACACCCATTTTTTATTCTTAAAAATCTACTCCGCACGCTATAACATCACTATATTTATGGCACAAAACGTTTTTTTCGGTTTAAAATAATTCAGTTACATTCCTAAAAATTTTCATAGAAAATTTCATGTAAAAACGGAATGTTGGTGAGTTTGACGTTTAACTTTTTTTAAAAAAAGCGCGCGCAAGCGAGAACGTGCGCCGCGTCAGCCAGCGCGGTCAACTGTGGCGCTCGGCTCATTCGTTACGTCGCAGAGTGGTGGTTGCTTTAAGTCGTGAATAGATTGTGATTGTGGGACAGGCAGGCAGAGCGTGTGTAGAGAACGTGTTTGGGTAGCACTGCATTGTACTTTTAAGCGGCAACAACACTAATTTTTATTATGTTTTAAAATTTATGACACATTTTTTTAATATGATATTTACAGTATAGTAGAAGCAAAAAATATATTTGACTATACTGTAGTTCCTAATGTATCCATGTACTTCCTTATCGCACAGTACAAATTTGGCGGATGGGGGGTAGGTGAAAAAAGTGTAAGAATTTTTCGTCACGACCGATTCGTCTCTAAAATACCATGGCAACCAATAACAACTTTTGACCCTTTACCTATAATTGCAAAAAATAATTGCAAGATTTGCAAGTTATTTTATTAAACCGTTATCAATTGCATTTAGTGTCTTATTCACAAACAAGGAGTAGTGGCACAGTTAAACACATATTCTTACAATACGTACTAAAATCTATTAGGTACTTTTATTCTATAAAATTCTTAAAATTACCTAACAAAGCACATTAGTAAATCAAAAAGTACATATTTATCAACTTAACACCCATGAGTGAATGTGACAGATGATATGAAAATCATTTATAATAATAATTATAAAACTGACGTAATTTGAATGCATCAGTTTCGGTGCGCTAGTGCCATATAATTATATATTTCGTAATAGTATATATGTATTATCATTGCTTGATAATAATTTATACGTCAACAGTAGTTATTTCGCTTATTCATTTCTTAGTTTTTACATTTAAAACTGAAACTACAGACAATTTAAACCAATAGTTTGACAGTTTAATCTACTTATTTTTAAGTTTCACCTTAAGTACAGAGATTAGAACTTAAAATTAATCTAATATCGAACATCATTAGAAACCTCACTGACAAAACACATGACGTGACAGCGACGCAAATCTATGTATTTGCCCATCCACAATTGGCCAACATGTCTATAGAAGTTAACGCTTCAAAAAATATTAAAAATTTCATCTGAGCGTGCCGTCGTAACGGACATACACACCTGCGAGAGCTCATGCGCAGGTATCTCACGCACACATTACCACATATTCTTATTGATATTCAACACAGCCACAACCATCCGTGTATGTTTTAAACAGCGACTGGAATATACCACATTCAGTTTTAAACCTTAAAAGCTATTTGTTGTGATGGAAAAACATTACGTAATATTTTCAAATCTGGTCCATATCAATTTTGTTACCTGCCTGCTACCACAAGTTACCAAAGGACCATAAAGAAGGAACTTTCATGAATGAACTTCTTAACCAATAAGTGAAAACTAATACCTACAGGAAACATGATATTCATCCAACCTTCATTCAGTGTACGACTACGTTGGAAATATTAAATAGGCACAGGAATTATTCATTCATCTAAGATTTTATGTCGAGACCTAGTAGTTTCAATTTTCATGTTAAAAAGTTATAATAAATTACTGTGTCACTAACGTCTCCACTTCAATTACCACATTTCAAATACTTAAAAAAACAGTTCGATGTAATATATGACTGAAACGTTTTAACTCCGTGTAATTAAAGTGGTAATTTCATCAAATAAAAGTGCCTTTCAATCTGTAAAGACTGTGTTGAAAAATCGTATATCGCAACACACAGTTTGCTCTGGTAAGAAATATTTCTAGTACCTGCTCATTATGTATCACTCAAAATGTGGCTTGTCTATTTATATGGAATATTGTTTGTAATATTATTTATAATGCCTCGCTGAAATTATGCTAAACTTTGAATCTTATGAAGTTATGCATTAGGTGCATTGTTCTATAAGGTTGTTGCTTAATGTCCGAACCGACACAACGGGACATTTGAAAAGAAAGCCTTATATTTTAATTTAAAAGACGGACAACTCTCCTCGAACTCTAGTGTTCCAAACTTCCTGTTCAGTTCAAACAGCCTGTTCACTACCTATAATGAAAACGACGCTAAAATAAGGGTTGCGCAGTTACGTACAGGCAGAAAACATTTGGCACCATTTGCAATACTCTTTTTTAATCTTCCGCTTACATATTTTGAAAGTTTACAAGCGTTACTTATTTTTATTTAGCAATGATATACTGCAATGGTCGATGATTCCGAATTGAAAGATTGCGCTTTTTAGAACGATAATATAAAATTCAACGCTGAATGATGACAGGTCTCGTTCGGAATCAAATGTCTCGAGTAAATGTTTGATCATGACGTGTAATACTTATTTTCTGTGCTAATCATAATTTACGCGGTTGGCAAAGGTAGTGTATTTATTATATAAATTATTCTAATATATTTAAATTACTTAAGCTTAAGCAGTGGCAACTATTTCTTGCTACTTGATGCTTTAGTCCATTTACACTTGGCGACCGAGTTTGAGTAGACGTTGATGAGTAGTTATTGCTCAAATCTTGAATTAATTTAAGTTATTTTATGGAAACAAACAAGCTGCAAATGGGATGGACAAAGAATTTCAGTTTTTAAAATCTTAGATGGTCACTTATCACGTGATCAACGGTGAAGGAAAACCATCGTAAGGAATCGTGAATATTTTCGAAATAATAAAGAAACGTTTCGAAGATATGTGAAGTCTGCCAATCCGCAGTGGTGGACTATGCCGTGAGTCCTTTACCCAGCAGTGAGTCATATATAAACTGTTACTTTACTTTACTATTTATGTACTTTTTTAAAGGAAACCTTTGCAATCAATCAGGCGGCTTACCTGATGTCAAAAACACCTAAGAGTTACCAATCTTTAAAAAAGTAACGCCCGAGTGTTATAAAAAGGTAGCCAACCTTTAAAATAGTGGGGTTCGGTTACATCAGTCGACCAGCCTCCATGCCATTCTTCCGATAGGCCTTGATATATTCCATGAACATACCAAGCGCAGTCCAGCATAAGCAGAAGCTGCCGGGCTCTAATACGATGAACTGTCATCCACAGGTTATCCATCTCATGACCAACAAATATTGTAAGAGTCAAGTAAAGAGATCTTTTTTTCGCTCATAAGGTAAACCAGCAAGAGTACGAGAAACTGCCCCAGTTACCTCACTCACTAGACGAAACACAAAAGAATAACACTTCCACTTTACGCCGGTCTTTTATCAGGTCTTGCTATTTCTCTGGAAGAGCTTGCCCATTAGTACAACAGCAAATATTGCTGTTGTACTAATAAACGAGAAAATACGTGGAAAATATAATTAGAATAGAATAGAAATACGTAGGAAATATAATAGTTTTGACGGATATCAACATAATATGAGGTTCGCCTTAGTTGTGCCGTTGATTATATTATTACAAAATAGTTTCTGCGAAGAAAAAACAAGACGCATGAACAGTCTTTTTAATGGAGTCCGGTTTTTTGTTTAATTTAAGAATTTATTCTTATATAGCAAGATTCTACTGCGGTAATACGAGTTCATTTTAATTCGCAAAAAGCGATTCGCAATAACAACGCGTCAACGACTCTATGTTTATCCAACTGGCCTTTTCCCACAGCACTCATGTGCATATTGCTACAATGCACACATTAACAGAAGACGAAGAACATTTCACTTTCGTCGAGAAAGTTCCACGGGCTTTATGACATGTTCCATGTAACAGCTCTGTCTAATGAACTTACGCAATGAAAGTTTCGTTTGAGAAGTTGGCATAATTGCAGATCCCAAGCCGCGTAGGATCTTACTTAATGGTTGAGGTTATCATACAAATGTGGTTCCAACGAGGTTCTATTAATAAGCTATTAACTGCCGCTTACGGGTACACGTCTTTTATTCAATACAGGCTTGATTATTTTTTACAGGCCAATAAGATACGATTCGATATTGCTATCGGCAATATCAACCATCAAATAGAAAAACAATAACTTTAAACAAATCATGTTATTATTTTAGGTAATTGTTTTTCTATTTATTGTCTATTTCATGATAGCTATTGTTCGACTGTGAAGGAGAACATCGCGAGTAAGTCCCCATGATTGGGTATTTCTTGTGTATTGTGTGACTCTGTGGCATAGTTGCCAAGGTATTGCCTAGGCCGCCGGTGTTCGTGGGTTCGCTCTACGTCTGAGGCATTTTAGTTTCTGTTCCTGTTGACAAAACATCCAGCAAAAATGCATAAATATGTATATTATGATTTAACGTTTGGCACTTTCAAAACGTCCAACAAAAAGTCTATAAATATGTATGTTTGATTTATATAATCCTCCATCTTAATTTGGACAAATGAATGTTAGGATTCCGAAGTCAACAAAGCAATTCAAGAAATTTCATTTCGCATTTTAATTAAGCCAGCGTAACGGGTTTGTCAAAATAAAATTGTAATAAAAATAAACCGATCATTCGCTGTATACCTACTCTAAATCCTTACGTTTCGACTCAAATTCGAACATCGTTAGATGAATTTAGAAACGCTGTTATAATAATATTTTAGCTAATAGGACCAAAGGTCGAATGTCAATGGAGCTTCATGGGAATCTTATGCCAATGAAGATTTTTTTTCCCGCTCAAATTACTATTCCGATAAGTTTCAACACCGTTATATAAACTTATTAAAAATGTCCTCGTGTACTCAAAAGTTAAACAGAACAGCGATAATAAATAATTAAACGATTTATAATTTTTCTTACTAGAAAATTACAACAGCAATATAAAAAAATCCCGATTTAAACCGTTACCTATTCACTCGTAAATTCCGTTCGGCGAAAGTTATATTCCAATACCAATGTTATATTTTATTAGTAATATTCAGAGTTATTTTTAATTTATACAAATAAATAAAATTGTAGTGTCTGTTCGTAATATTAAAATAACCACTTTTTACTAAAGGCATATGGATGTATACACGACATACATATTACCAAAATAACATTTTCTACACTTTTTGTTTGTTGTTGATTTGTCTGATTGACTTGTCTCTGAAATGGCTGGACTGGATCAATTTTGACAGGACTTTCAGTGAAAGTCCCGTTTTTTTTCACTAGCAGATAGCTCATGTAAAAAGGAGTAATTTAGGCTACTTTTATTTTTGAAATTTTATTTCTTTTAAATGCCAGCGGACGAAGTCGCGAGCTCAGCTAGTAACTTATAAAAAGAAAAGAAAATATAATAATGTTTTAAAGAAGTAAAGAAAGTGTTACGCCATTTTTTTAATATACCGAAGACTTCGAGTGCGCGGGGGCAATTAAATCAGTAGTCATTAGAAATGAATGTTAATGCTCGTTCGATTAATTGATTAAATGCCGTTATATTGATAAGGGGCAAAAGAGTTGCTAATGATTAAGTTTTAATTACAACCAAACTATTATTTAAATCAGTATTATTTATTTCATTGTTCTTAAACCTAGTTTTAAACACTGCTAGGGATGCCGAAAAAATATCGATATATCGATATTTTTTTAAAATATATCGATATTTTTGGCCGATTTATTTTGATCCGATATATCGATATAAAAAATTGAATATCGAAATCGTATCAAAAACGATATTTTTTATTCAAATTGATTCAAAGCCGTAAAAATAAAAATGAACGGAAAAAAACTGTGGTCTATTAGTAGTATTGTCGCGGTTGTAGAGTTGCATTTTATACTATAATTATGGTATTTATACTACAACTTGATGCTTCGTACTTTATACTAACCATATCTTAGGTACAACATGGTATAGAGGTGTTACAAATGATTAATATTGAACTACATATTATGTTAATTTATAAATAGCATGCAAAATATTAATTACATCAACTAAAGTTACTTTAATTTTCACATTATGTAAATGAATGAGAAATTTTAATATATACTTAATAGTAGTTTCATTGACATGAAAATGCTGAACGACAATTTAAAGAAATTACTTATGAGGTTAAATGATAAAATATTTTATGAAATCTCGATATTTTATTATATTGACATTTAATTAATGAGAATTTGATTTTGTTTTGTTTGTTTTGTTATCTTTATTTATATATTAAATTAAAGTAACTATAGTTGATGCCATTAATATTTTGCATGCTATTTATAAATTAACGTAATATGTAGTTCAATATTAATGATTTGTAACACCTCTATACCATGTAGTACCTAAGATATGGTTAGTATAAAGTACGAAGCATCAGATTGTAGTATAAATACCATAATTATAGTACAAAATGCAACTCTGCATCCGCGACAATACTAGTAATAGACCACAGTTTTTTCCGTTCCTTTTTATCTTTTACGGCTTTGAATCAGTTTGAATAAAAATATCGTTTTTCATACGATTTCGATATTCAATTTTTTTACATCCATATATCGATATGTCGGATCAAAATATATCGGCCACAAATATCGATATATTTAAAAAAAATCGATGTATCGATATTTTTTCGGTATCCTTAGGAGCACTCTTTGTTTAATGTGCTCCCCTGTCTTATCTATCTACTAATCTATTGTTGGGTACTGTGAGATTTACAACTGAAGCAACTCTATCTAAAGACACCGAAGAAGCCTGACAAATCAGATACTTAAGGGCGACTTTTGAATTTCACTTCTTTTTAAGGTTTTTTTTGTTAATTTATTAATTTGTAATTGCAAAAAATAAATAATAAAGTATTATCATGCACGCACCTATTATAACACTAAACCACAGTTGCGTTAAAAAATATATCGAAATTGACACGAATTCGATCATCATCATCATCATCATATCAGCCGTAGGACGTCCACTGCTGAACATAGGCCTCCCCCATTGACTTCCACTTCGACCGGTCGTTAGCGGCCTGCATCCAACGCGTCCCTGCGATCTTGGCTAGTTCATCCGTCCACCTTGTGGGAGGCCTTCCTACGCTGCGTTTGCCGTCACGTGGTCTCCACTCGAGAACCTTTTTGCCCCAACGGCCATCGGTTCTTCGAGCTATGTGCCCTGCCCACTGCCACTTCAGCCTGCTGACTCGCTCTGCTATGTCGGTTAGTCTAGTTCTTCTACAGATCTTCTCATTTCTGATTCGATCTCGTAGAGAAACCCCAAGCAGTACCCTTTCCATAGCGCGCTGTGCGACCGCGAGCTTCCTTATGAGGTTAGTGAGAGACCGCGACTCAGCACCGTAGGTCATCGCTGGTAGCACGCACTGGTTAAAGACTTTCGTCTTTAAGGACTGTGGTATTTTGGAAGTAAAGATGCTGCGCAATTTCCCGAACGCAGCCCAGCCGAGCTGGATTCGTCGATTGACCTCCTTCTCGAAGTTGGATTTGCCTTGTTGGACCATTTGTGCCAGATAGACATAGCTATCAACAACTTCGAGTGGCGAGCCTCCCAACAATACGGGGGTGGGCGTCACATGGACATTTGACATGACTTTGGTCTGACTTTGACGAATTCGATAGTCGAAATTAAATATCGAATATCGATATATCGGGAATAAAACTATCGACGATATATATCGATATTTATTTGGAAAAATATCGATTTTTTTGCTCATGCCTAATGCTTGCGTTGCGTCAAACCTGCTGTAATAGGAAATAGGAATACGCTGCCGGTGCTAATTTTATATATTTCTAGGAATCTTGGATTTTATATATGCCCTACGTTTATCCGTATTTAATTCTATAATGGAAAACGATATAATAGACTCTCTAAATGATTTGGGGTAAGTTTTTAGTTACTTTTTGGGGTTATGAAACTTTCTTGCGGATGTTTTTAATGTCAAATCAATAAAATTTATCCTTTGATTTAATCTTAGCATACGGAAACGACATCGAATAGTGGAAATTTATTCAAAATATTTAAAATTTGTTATCTAAATTTTTTTCTATCAGGTATTTTTATTACAGACTTACAATTGCCTTTATTTCTATAGTTTTTTGAATTTGATATGAATGAATTTTCCTCTTTTTTTATACCTTATATTATATTATATATTATGCTTTATATTACCTTTATACCTTATATAATATTACATATATTTTTAAATATTTTGTAAAAATATAATAACCATTGATTAATATTATGTAGTATTCTTATTTCAAGTGTTTTTATTATTATTTCTTGTCGTAAAATATTGCTTTGGTTTTTTTTCAGTTATGAAGGCCCCTTGCTGGACGAAGTAGTGTTTGCAAAGGCATTGGATGGTGGTCCAAAATCTTTGGAATACACCAAACTCATACATATCCTTGCTGAAGAGCTGAAGAACTTATGTAAAATGGAGGAAACGGTTAACATGATGAATGACCCAGATGAATCTAGCTCATTCTTGTTGGAGTTGAGTTCTTTTTTGAAAGAATTAGGCTGCCCTTATAAAACATTGGTTACAGGTGATTAAAAGTCTTAAGCTAAAACATAGCTTCAGAGAAAAATGCTAATACTTTATTTTTATAGATTATAACTTATCCATATATGTAAAAGAGAATGTATGTTCACCTAAACCTCGAGAACAGTTAGCCCAATTGATATAAAACTTGCACATATATATGTTAGTATTGGATACGTAGCGCTGGTGGCAATGATTTTTATCTCTTGAACCATAGGTTAAATATTAGTATATGGTTACACAGAAGATTTTTCTAGGTGAAACAAAGCACACCGTGCACCAGCTAGCTGTTTAATATCTTTGGTCCTTTTAGAATTTTTACTGTAATAATTTTAAACACACAAAAGGGAAAGCCTGTAGTAGGTAGAAAAATATTGTTCAAGCGTTTTCTCTTTTTTAATATTATACTTAAAGTTAGAAGATTCATGTGCATAAACAGGATGCTTGGTACATTACTGTACAATTATGGTAGTTTACATTATTGTAATAGTAACACAATCTCACAAAAAAATTACTCAAAAAAAAACTATATAGAAAGAACCCACATAAAACTGCAAAATTTTAATAATTTACAGGTCATATGTCATCACGGCTTCAAACAAAGGACGACCGGTTGCTCCTGCTAGATTATTTAATATCAGAGTTGATGTCTGCACGGATGGTCAATGTTGATTGTCCAAAAGAAAAGCAGGGATCGGGCATGGAGATTGTTATGGTAGAACTTTATAGTATTATGCATTTGGTCATGTGTTATATAAAAGTTTTGTAGATTTCATTTACTTCTAAATTCCTAAATACTTGAATCTTTGGACTGAAGATTTGAATAATTATAATCCACACAAAAACATAAAACTAGTTGTGTTAAAAAATGTGCATTACATAAAAGTAAGAAATCATTATCATGGTGCTAATGAAGAATATTGAGTAAATAAAATGCAATGTAATTTTTAATTATAATCATTTATTCACTGTCAAGCAGTGTTCATCAACTGATAAAATTGTCAGCTTATCTTACTTAATCTAGAACTTAATATATAAATATAGTTAAATATTACACAAGCATAAGTAACTTTCCATATACTAAAAAAAGTACATTTAAATATTTTTCTGCTCACATCACATTCTCTAACATTTTTATCCTATTATTTTTATGACATGTTATATTTACTGACCCGAAGATGTTTTAGCTCACCAGGCATGTTCATCACCTATTCCTGTTTGTTATTATCTTCATTAGAAGAGTATGATTTATTGAAATCTTCTTTTAGCAAGAATCCCCCACGGCCAAAGATCTAAAAGAAATACTGATAGCATTGAAATTTAACAAACCGCCGCCAAATATAACGCCAGAGATATTGTTCACGAAATTGGAAGCAAAATTGAAAGACACCATTCAAAAGGAAGGTGAGAATTATTTATACCCAATAATATAAAAAAAACTGATGTTTGTTGATGGAATGTACAATTGTCATCATAAAAAATTTCAGGTGAACAACTAATCGGCAAACCACTGTACAATAAGGCATTGTCAGAAAAAGAATGGAAACAATTGGAAAACACTTTCTCAGAGATGTTTGAGGACTACAGGTTGAGGAGAGAGACGCTCGTAACTAGACTGGAGTGTACTATACAGAGTTTTGAGGTATCTTTGTTTTATCTATGCTCGTATCCCAATGGTATTCTTAGCAAGTTATTATTATATAGCAAACAAAATACAATGACTGTTTTTTAATATGGTAATGTTATAAGAAAGTAATGGTAATTTCCTAGCGTATTTGTCCTTGGACCAAGCTTTGCTCAGATTTACTAAATTTCATCATCAATTAAAATACAAACGACTAAGTATAAACAATTTCAAAAAATTTGTAAAAGCTAACTTAATGGCAAGGGCCTACTATAATGTCCAACAATACATTGAGGACAAGGATGTGTGGAAATGACTCTTGCTCTGCACTTGCAAGACCCCTGGCTGCTGGTGATTTTATACCTATAATAAGTTATGTTTGTATAATTGCATTACAAAAAAAAAATAACAAAAAGAACAAGACCGCAGATTTTCTTGCTGGTTCTTCTCTGTTCAGGTCTAGTTTAGTGAACCCTGGGGTAGGTTTTTTGTTGACGTTCAATAAGAGCTTTAGTTAAGCCTATATTGAATAAAGATACTTTGACTTTGAAAAAAAAAAAAAGAAATTTTGTGTCGAGTCTCCTTGGCTGTCCAAGTAGTACTTAAGCTAACAAAGTATTAATGGTAAGTTTGCTTTTAGTTTGGTGAGGTAAGTCGCCAAAGGCCGTCCACCTCAAAAGTTGGCATAGTGGGTAGAAACGTGGTAGAGGGTGTGGGTTCGATCCCCACTACTAGAAAATTATTGTGTGACGAATATAGTATTTTTAAATATGTATCATGTACTTATTTAAAAAAAAAAAAAAAAGTATTTTTAAGTATGTTTACCATTTAACTAGTGTCAAATTGGTTTGGGAATAGTTAATGTTGTGTAAAAACATGCCCCGATTTATTAAATTTTATAACAATAGGAAAATAAATAATTATATATGAATAGCCATGGTATTTTGATTAGTCTGTGTCTAGATAACAATGTGTGAAAATTTTTCCTGAAATATTGATTTTATATTTTAACACTTCTTTGCCAGCAGATCTCACTTATTCTTGTTGTCATATCTCAATGTCCCATCCTAGCGGTTTTAAGTTAGTCTCCTTTACATATCTCAATGGCTCATCCAGGCAGTTTTATCTTAGTCTCGTTTTCCATATCCCAGTGTCTTATCCAGGTGGTTTTATGTTAGTATCGTTTCCATATCTCGATGTCTCATCCAGCACTCGCTTCCAGTGGTCCGACCGCTTGAAGGGGAAACGCGACGAGATCCAGTCCACCTACCGGCCGAAGCGGGAACAGATGAAAGTCAAACCGGGCGTCAGGTTCTCTGACTTCCTCGCCGCGAGAACCGCCCTGCTGATGGTCGACAAGACCTCCAGCGCCAACGTCAGGAAGAACACCAGGTCGGACGTGAACAAGGTCATCATCGGCAGGGTAAGTTGGCAAAGTCAAAATTTGTCTGTTCAATATACGCTTCTTTTAAGCCCTTATTGAATGTGAAACTACCACCGGATAACCAAACTAGATTCACTGGTAAAACTTTTTTTTATGTGAAAAAGTGGCAAACGAGCTGGCCGTTCACCTGTTGTTAAGTAATAACCGCTGCCCATAAACATTTGCAACATCCGGCTTGTTGCAAATGCGTTGCCACCTTTAAATAAAGTGGGCCCCAGCTAGCTCGCTCACCAGACGAAACACAGAAGTGTAACACTTCTACTTAACGCCGGTTTTCTGTGAGGTCATAGTAACTACCTGGACGGACCTGCCCACTTGCGCAACAGTGAAAGCTGTTGCGTGGCCCTACCACAGTTACCTGCGAGAAACTCTGCAATCTTGTGTTGCACAAGCCAGGGAGGGGACTTGCAGAGCGAGCGTCATTTCCACACTTGTCTAGCTACACCCAGCTTTCAGGTGGTGCGCATCGTAAAAATTGACTCTCACCATTTATCCCAAACGCACCAAAAGAATACTTCTTTAAATTAGAACTTTAAAAATACTGTAAACTCGATAACGGCATTTGTTACACCGGTTTCCTCCCGTTTCAGGTTCCCGATAGAGGAGGCCGCCCCAACGAGCAGCAGCCACCACCACCGGAGATGCCCTCGTGGCAACAAAGATCGGCCCCGCAGGTAAAACACGCACAAAAACATTAACACTACACTTACTATATGATAGGAGTAGTGGATGGTGTGGCTTTGTCCCGCCAGAGGGTGTGGGTTGTTCCCCACTACTAGAACTTTTTTTTAAAATCATTTCATTAATATAATGCTATACTTTATGCACTTAATATGAAAAGTGGTCCTTTGCTCAAAAGGAAATACATTAGATGACGTCATTTTTAAAAATGTAATAAACTAAGTAGAAAAAATATGTTGAGATTTGATAGGTGATAGGATTGAGAGGTATTACCATAAGCCGTTTGGCGCAGTGGCTAGCGCTTCGGGCGTGTATCCCGGAGGAGACAGGTTTAACCTTGCAGCAGCGAAAAACTCATGGTCCCATTTTTACAATTTTTTGAAAAAAGTATTGTGAGATGAAAATAGTATTTTTCTAGTGGCCAAGTATTTTATATGTTTGTAATACGCATTTATTTACAAAAGAAAAGTATATTTATCAGTTACGGAGACTAGATGACGTTGTGTAAAATTATATCTGGAAATGTTTATGTATTACATATTAACAATAAAATAGGCAGGTAGAAAATAAAATAGACAGTAGACCAGGGCCACGCAACAATTTGCTGTTGCAGGGCAGCTCCATCGGGGAAAGTACAGGGACTCACAGAAGATCGGTTTACCTCACTAGCCGGAGCTCACTTTATTAAAAGGTGGCGACGCATCTCCAACCTTACGGGTGTTGCAAATGTCCATGAACAGCTAACTCGCTTGCTACCTTCTGACATAAAAAAAAGATGTAGTAAACAACAACTCACCTAAACAGCTATAAAACTAAAATTACTAACTATTGACGGAAAAACAAAAATGCTAACAAGCGGTATTGAAAACATCATTTTAACGCACAGCCAGCGATGTTAAGAATATCATCGCTTATCTAGCGACGCTAACGCCTAATCAGCGATACATAATCCAATGCTGGGATTGCTAAACTCACAAGTAATGCCTACAAAACCTTTATCACAATTCACTGTGGGCAGACCTTAAAACCAGACCTTGTTACCAAACTAGTGGTAACTGGTAACATATTTGACATATTTAAACATGTAACATATTTAACATATTTAACCCTAGTATTTGTGGTGGTACCTGCCAAAGTGCACAATATAAACTTCATCAAGTCTTTATTAATTTGTGTAATAAAACACATATTGTATAAAAACACATATTGATATAAAATACATTAGTGATTGATCATACATTTACTGATATAAAATCCAGTTGTTAAACAGTAAGGGCATTATTTTTTATCTATAGATAGATAGGCGAAGGACGAAGTAGTTTGCGAGTTTTCCTCCTCTGTTTGTAAACCATTTTTTCTTTTTCATTAGCATAATTTGTAGCTAATGAATAAAAAAAAATATTAAAACCTTTTTGAAAGTTTTCAAATATGATTTATCTATGTGGTACTCCCATATACAGGCTACGTCCATTTAAAATTTCATTAAAAAGTGAACAGATATCGCAGCATGCAGATGTAATAAATACGTTTACCTGTTTACGTAATTAAGTTTACCTGAAAGAAATCAGAGAACAAACTAAGAATCATCAAGAAGATAATCCCGCTCATTTTGTGTTATGGTGTGTGTATTCATTAATTCACAAATAATTTTATGACTCTTCCAGGGCGGTGGCGGCGGCCGTGGTGGTGGTCAAGGTGGTCAGGGCGGTGGCCAGAGAGGTGGTCGCGACGGTAGCGCTGGTGGTAGAGGCGGTGGTGGTGGTGGTGGTGGTGGTCGTGGCGGCAGAGGCGGCGGTCGTGTTCAAGGCGGCTACAACCAGGGCCAGGAACAACAAAGGTGATGATCACACTCTTTACCAAAAAAAAATACCTATTTAGAATTTTTTTTATAGTGCTAATCTCTGCACTTAAGATTAAACATTAAAATTTGTAGAAAAAGTTCGAAAAGATTGTCGCCGCTGTGGGAATCGAACCCACGTCTTCGGCATTCGCGGCCTGACGCTTTAGCCACTAAGCTAAACGGCTAATTGCCACATCGACGAAAATCTTAACATCTTTTATCTACAATGTCTTTTTGCATTTGAAGTAATGTAAAAATGTTACACTCAAAATGTTTCCAAAAGCACCAAAGGAAGTTTATCTTTCAAAAGTTAACTTTTGAAAAGAAATCTTATCCTTACTAATATTATAAAGGCGAAAGTTTTTGTATGTATGGATGGATGTTTGTTATTCTTTCACGCTAATACTACATATTTTATGTATATCTGTCTTTCTGTCTAAATGCCTATTCTACGCAGACGTAGACGCGGCCAGCAGCTAGTAAGTTATAAACCCATACAATTTCAGGCCTCAGAACAACCATGGCACACCAAATCAGAACCAACGAAACTATCAGACGTACGAGGTCCCACCGGGGGGGTACAATCAGGGGTACCAGACGCAGGGCTACAACCAGGGTGGCGGCTACGGGCAGGGCTACGACCACGGTCGAGGGGGCTACGCGCAGGGCGGCTACGGCGGCTACGGCCAGGGCTACGACAGCGCGGGTGGTTACAATCAAGGTTACACCACACCAGGTACCGCATGTTTATGGCTTGGTCTTAAGGGATTCAAACAATATTCTACAGCCTCGGCAGCTGGGAATAGACCATGTGTTAATGTTTGTATCAAACATATTATATACATATTAATGGGCATAATAATATTCATATAACATTCTGCTTTGTTTATTCACGATGTGCCAGATAATAAGTATATTGAAACTAATAATGTGTTTGTGCTTTCATCATGTTACATATTTGTACATATCTTAACAATTTTTATGCTTCTTTGTGGTGGGTTTATCAGAAATTAACGCTTTTTAAGCTTAACATTGTTCTATGTTAGAGTATTAACATTAACATATTCTATGTTACATTCATATATAACATATCTAATATACATCATCATATTCTTGACTGTGGTTTCACAGTGATTTGTTGTAAATTTAACTCCGTTTTTCCATCATAAACTGAAAGTGTGAATATATATTAAAAATAAATGTATGCATAATAAAAATGATAAATAGATGTAACATTATAAAGTTTCCTTTTCAGCGATGAACTGAAAAGGAGTAATATGTATAACAAAGTAACCATTTCTCCGGCTTTGGGTATTCAGACCGCTAGTCTACTTGCCGCTATTACTATAATATATAAAATTCATTGCAGGCTACAAGGGTTACCAGAGCCAAGGTCAGGGTCAAGGTCAGGGCTACGGGCAGGGCCGCTATCAAGGCGATAACGAGGAACGGCGGGGTCGAGGCGGCTACAGAGGGCGCCGCTAGTCAAATTACCAACGGTACAATAAAATAATCCTAATACTTATATATACTAGCCATTCGCCAGTTCATTAACCGACAGGTCATTGACCCGGCCACGCCTAACGGCCACTAATAGGACGCGTGAAATTTCAATGTACCCCTGAAGTTCGTCCGAGTCTGCGCAGTACATTAGATATCAGAGGGAAAATGTTGCCCTCCCTTTTTTGCCACAATCTAAATCGGTCTCTGTCTCTCCAACTACCGGATGGTGTACAGTCCTTACTAATCCTTACTTATATTATAAACGCGAAAGTTTGTATGTATGGATGGATGTTTATTACTCTTTCACGCAAAAAATACTGAATAGATTTTAACGAAAGTTTAATAATGTAGCTTATACATCAGAATAACACAAAGGTTATGATTTATAAAGATATTATGAGAACTGTCCAAAATAAAGGTAATGATAAGTGTCAACTAAGTAGGAAAAAATTCAGCCATCTACTACCCTTTGGCCGTGCGGGCGAAGCCGCGGTTAACAGCTATTATTATTTGGGCGAAAGTTTGTATGTATGTATGGATGTTTGTTACTCTTTCACGCAAATACTCCTGAATGGATTTAAATGACACTACAATAATACAGCTTATACATCAGAATAACACATAGGCTATAATTTATATACATATATTTTATGTACATCTGTCTTTTTGTCTGAATGTTACGCCTTCAGCCTATTTTACGCAGACGTAGTCGCGGGCAGCAGCTAGTCGCAAATAAAGTTGCTATTCGGTTGTGTGAATGCGATTTTTCCACCCGATGGTACATGCGCAGGACTCGAGGAACCAACTTCTATTGGGCCACATTCAAGTTTTGCGCGCCCTCCAACAGACCATGTTTACGAATGTGTATATTTTTTTTCGCTCGTGTCGAGGAATAAACGATTTATTTAACGTCAGAACGTTTTTTTTCTTTTATTTTAACTTTTCTTTTACATTTTCAATCTCCTGTCATTAATTTGAAGCATAAATTATATTTGTATCATTTAATTAGTACAATATTACTTTAAGGCAATTCGAGCAGTTATTTTGTATGTATTAATTTATTAACAATATCGTGAATTTTTTTCTAATATTGAAATTTTAAAGAGGGATCTTTAGTTGGGTTTCTATAATACCAATTAAATACATTCTGATAATTATCTCATACTATTGACTATTAAATATTAATTTTGACAGTATTCTCTAGGAACCAGAGTTCAATCTATGTTGGCATCGCAACATAGATGAAATTGTTTTTTGCAATTTAAGTGCTCACTTTGTGAGAAAACAAGCTAGAAGTGTTTGAGATATTTTCGAAATAATAAAAAAAATAGTTTCAAGATAGTGAAGGCTGCTAATCCGCAGTGGGGTCGCTATATGAACTATGCCCTAATATACCTTCTGCACAGAGCAGGTCTTGGGCCATAAAGCCTATACAAGTCCCACTAGACTGCTACTTTACTATGAACTATTAAATATTAAGTACCTGAATGACCGAGCATTGCTCGGTCTTTGTTCCCACAAAAGAAGAAACTTGAAAAAAAAGATTAAAAAAAAGTCATCTGGACTCTAACCAAGGTCTTCTGGTTTCGGGACCATGCCATTGCCCACCTGGACTATTATGACCTTGTAGATTGGTGGCGAAATTAACCTCTTCATATTCTAATGATATTGTAGCAGTATTTTATTGCTTGGAAAATCGGATGAAATGACGTTTTCTAAAAATGAAACCTAGCTAGATCGGATTGATTTGTGGCCCCCGAAACCCCCCACACGCCGGAGCTCATGAAAATTGTTGGAACTGTTTCCTTTTTGTTTGATTTGGACACTTCATAATAATGATACTGTCAAATACGGAAACCCAAATAAAATTCCTTAAACATATAGATAGTGCCCCTTTATAGATAGCGCTAATTTATAAGGGTTATTGCTTATTTATTAAATAATTGGTAATTTTCCTTTTATATATTGAACTCTATATTATTTGTTGTTGCTTAATACCATTCTTAAAACTATATGGTGCCATAAAAATTCCTTTGAAGAAGAAAAAGATGACAATTGGTTTCTCATTTGAACAAGAAAAAAATGAGGGAAATTTCGATTACAATTGGTTTCCTAAGTAACAAGATATTTTTCTTTTGTTCAATAATATGCTAAAGAAGTATAACATTTTACGATAAAATTTTAAATTTGGAACTGTCATAAATTATTTTAAAACCAAGCAATACTTATGTGTTTTATCGAAATATTTTACTTAATATTACTAATGTACTTCCAGCTTGTGTGAGTTATGTAATAATATAGCGATAATTGTATTTGAACTGTTTAGTCTTATTGTTACTAAATAATTATTGCTCCGAAATAAAATATTAATACGTATTATTACAATTTCCAGCGCGATGTTGTAGCATTACGTATACTATAGACTTTATTAAAATGTGATATCAAGCGACCCTATGTAAGTGCAAAATCGGAATAGATAGACTAGGAATCGTAAGGCTGCGGCCACACTCGACGGGATGTTGCCATGTTTTACGAATTGCTGGCAAGAGTTACGATTGACATAAATCGATAGGAACGATGACTAGCGGGTTTTCAGTTTGATTTCCGCGCAGTACAAATATTTTTATGAAGTGCCTGTATCGCTGTATAAATTCAAAACTGATTATTTCAAAAGGAGATATAATAATAATTATGGTTAATGCAGTATTAAATTTATTCAATAACGAATCATTGTTTTGTGAAATTAATTTATACCGTATTTTTATTGATCGATTGTTTTATTCGTAAAACTGGTCTCGTAAATACCCGATGTGGCGCTAGCCTAATAGCTTTCCTCCAAAGGGAATTAGAACACCATAACATTGCGACGTAACTTGTTATAGCATAGACAATTATATAACGTTTTTACATTGGCACGGACGGACATTTTTATATACGAAGTGAACTCGCTCGGAGTCTTTCAGATGGAGTTTTCAGTTTTATTTCACAAACATCGTTCGTAATTTTGATATTGATAAGAACCATGAATGATTCAGTGGACAAAAAAATTCAGCTGTCCATGGTCATTAGATATAGCATATGGAAGTTATTAATAAAGTTATGAATCTTTCTTTTACGGAATTTAACCGTATATGCAATGTTGTATTGATCCATTAATTTAATTAAACTGGAATGGATTCACGTGTTTAGATGAAAATTACGGGTAGTAATAATTGTATATAAATCATTATTGCGTCATCGGTTGTTTGTGTAGGCGCAAATAATACATGTTGTCAAAGGTAAAAATCACTATTCGGATTTTTAGCGCAGGATTTCATTTAAAAGTACACTTACAACAAACTAAGTTTACCAGAGATGCACTGTTCGTAACGATGTTGAAATTTTGGATGTGGCATTAATTTGTCGATGCGGTGTTGCTGTGTGCGATGTCGTTTTGTGTATCCATTTCGTGTACCATTTAATTTTAAGTGAGTTCCTATTCTAATTTACAAAAGGAGTTATCAAATAGTTTATTGTACACACATCAAAAAATTCATGTGTACAATAACCCTTTGATATATCCTATTTTATCTTTAGACGCATACAACATTATTAATAAATGGTACGATATTGCCTCACCCTAATTTTCACACATTCATTGTATTTTTTACAAGAATCTTAAAAGGTTTTCAGAAACCTAACATATCACCGGCCAAGACTCCGAGTGACTTAAAATTGTATAAACCATTTACAGTGCGAGATCTATTAGGATTTAAAGAGTTCCTCAAATAATATAATGCGAATATTTTGTCTTTGCGTTTTGTAATAATAATGGTTATATTAGGTTTGTGGGAGAGGGAGGTATATCGCGTGCTCTGTCTCACTTAAACTTTTATGTGCAACATGTGACTACAATTTTAATATATGTACTTTTTTATTGGTCTGAGAATATATATTTGTTAGCAGTTTTTCGAAGTAAATATAATATATTGACACATTCAAGAAAACTCTACTTTTTATTTATATCATTAAAAGATGATTTTTTTTTAATATCCTCTTACTACTACTGTTTTCACAATGTTAGTTATTTATGGATTAATTAGAAATCGGAAGAAAATGTAATACGTCTTAAAATTAAATGTAATCATGTATAACATTTCGCTAATGTGTTTTTTTTTATTAAGAATATATGATAATAAAGCCATCTATTGACAATTTAATGAAAAATAGCCGGAGTAGGCTGAATGTTACAAATATTCTTTAGAATAATAATGTACTGCTTATTGATAAATACTTATAAATATTTACACATTATTATGTCACCATTTGGTGAATATTGTGCGAATAATTAGCACGGTCCAATTAGTTACTATACTAATTTACACTTTTATATTTTGAAAGTTAAATATGCGACAGTACACGCGACATGTGCCGTCTCGCTCCCACGCTGGTCGGACCGAATCTTAAGCGCGTTGTAGTGACATAGTTCATGCTAGAACTGTTTAGGAAATTTTTAGATTGTTTATCGGAGCAATGCGCGTCGCCTATCGTAATGCCGATGTGGTATATGATCGTTCGTTCAAATTGTATTTAACTTGTCCACCGTTTACAGTCTCCTCCATTAGCTGAATAAACAAGAGTTTACAACAATTATCCCTCGTTTTATTTTCACCACCCATTTTCTTAACCAAAAAATCAAGAATGTAAAGAAAATAAATCTAAGTTAAGCTACACACAACATTCCTTTTGTATGTACTATAACAATATTTATATAAAATAACTTAAAATGTGAATTTATTTGTAGATAATTTGTCGAAAAATTTTCGCCTTTGTAGAATCAAAAATCGAAACTGCGACTTCTGGGTGCCAGACGCTTTAACTAAGCTGAGACATTTTTTAGTTCTAGTTTCTGCTCTCCAGATGAAACTTAAAATATGAATTTAAGAGAAAAAAAGATGTATTAATTAATTGATAAAAAAACCAAAAAAACAAAATTGATAAAAACCTTTAAAAAGTAGCAATGGCCTTTTATGCTGAATATTTTAATACTCGACAACTTATCTAATTTTGAATACAGTTTATTTAAACATGTATAATTTGCACGGAGGACGATTAAAATTTCTCCGTAGCTAGGTACTAACTGAGCCCCCATGCGTTACTTTGAATACTCTGGCGTTCACAGAGATTTCAGGTGACATAACGCGTCGATTAAAATATATCCCAAGTGGTTTTTGCAAAGGCTGTGAGCGTTTATCTTTAACGCATAAAATAAATGATAAATTTACTGTAACTCGCGGCTTTCAGTTTTTTTGGGGGCGTGTCTGTATTAGACAACATCTAGATATATGTATATCCAAACAGGTAAATAAATAGACCTATTAAGGTGAACATGTAGAAATATCGTAATCGACACAAATGAAACAATATAAAACTCGTTTATTATTTGATTCTCATGTTTCCGACGCTATTGTTTACAAATCTTCCGTGCTCCATTTATAAGCCTCCTCTTCTTGGGCTCGCTTCTTGCTCTGCTGCTCGAAGTATTTCTTCTCGTAGCCGTTGGACCGGTCCACGCCGTCCCAGCGGTAGCCAGGGCGTATGCTGAAGCGGTTCGGGGGGAAGTTGCCTTTGTACTGCGGCTTCTCTGTGACAAATACAAACGATCATGAAAACCTTGAAAAAATTTCGTCAGGCGAACGTGTTGGAAGAAATCGTCACGTAAGGAAATGGCGTTATGCCCCCTACCGGTGGTAGTGTCTTGAATTTGTGTGATAATGAATAATTAAATGTAATGCTTCTATATTGAATAAAGATATTTGGTTTATATTTATAGAAAAAGTATGAAAATATTGTCGCCGCTGTGGGAATCGAACCCACGTCTTCGGCATTCGCAACCTGACGCTTTAGCCACTAAGTTAAACGGCTGATTGCCACACCGACGAAAATCTTAACGTCTTTTATCTACATTGTTTTCAGCATTTGAAGCAATGCTTGGCGCATCCATTGTTATATACTATCCAATATACAAACAATTTCGAATATCGTTTTACAACGATAATTCGAAAGAGAGATGTCGCCATTGCTTTATAGAAATTTAAGGTTTTTTATTGTGCTAATCTCTGCACTTAAGATTAAGAATTTATATTTATAGAAAAAGTATGAAAAGACTGTCGCCGCTGTGGGAATCAATGCTTATATGTACATGCTTCAAATGCCAAAAAAACAATGTACAATAAAGACATTAAGATTTTCATCTTTGTGGCAATAAAGTATGAAATACTTTTTCTATAAATATAAATGTTTAATCTTAAGTGCAGAGATTAGCACAATAATAACTTTAAAAGATATTTCAGTTTGAATTTCTCCCTATTTGTCTCTTTCTAACTCTTCTCTTTTCAGTCATGTTTCCCCATCGGATCCCTGAGGATACATGGGAGTGTTTTAACGGGTCTGAGTAAACGTAAACCTATTCTTGGAACTACGCGAAGAGCTACAGACACTGCTACATCTTAGAAGTTAATCTACTACTTAGCTTTGTTGTGGCAACGGTCTATGCATCTAGAAATATATTTGGTAATCAATAGGTAATTAATTAATATAACATAATATATTCTTGGTAATAGTTTGTCTATAATTATTTGTACGTACATAATCTGTAGTTTCAATATAACGCCACCTACCTATAACTTCAAGAACCAATTGCATTGTACTTCTTTAGTAAACGTTTCTGGTACTTGTCCAATGAGAGATGGCCCGTGAAAAATTAAAGATTTTGGATCTTAAATTTAATATTATTTTTTCAAATTATTATTTACATACCTTTTTACAAGCAATTATTAATTACAGTTTTATGCCATACCAAAATTAAAATTTATTAAAAATATTTTTCAAATTAAAAAAAAATATTTTTAATTGGGCTTGTTGTTTTGTTTAATACATAATTTAAATTGGAAGGAACTTCGTTCCGACCGGGTGTCCTACAAGACCTCAATCATTTGAGGTTATGCTTCTTTAGGTGCATCAGCTTAGAAGTGACATATGAAGTTAGCCGAAGACATGTATACACAAAATGAAGTTGACACATATTAATGACGTTTAACACAATATGAACATGGAAAAAATTAATCGCCTAGCCTCATGGTTTTAATTTAACGTTTATTTTTAAGTTTTAAAAATGATCTACTTACGTGCGTGAGTAAAAATACATTTTTTTTTAATATTACCGCGACGTAAACATCTTAGTGAGCCTTAAAACTTACCAGGTCCGATTTCGCCTCTCTCCACCTTCTTCTCCCTGATATACTGAAGCATTGGATCCCCAGCTCTCTCGATTTGCTTCAAGTTCTGCTCCAAGTCTCGGTCGTCCTTATGCCTCGCCAGGGGTTTGGCCGCTTCGTGAATGTACTCCTGCACCCTGGCCTCTTGCGCCTCTATTTGCTTAAGACTGGAACGGAATAGTAAATTTTTATTACAAAAAACAAACTTCAAACCTCACTAAATATACTCTTTCTAATTGATTTTGAGGAGTAACTATACGGACTTCAAACATCTCTCTCACTGTACTCTTTCTATTAGATTTAAAAATTATTTGTTAAAAATAGAATGGAGAAAGCACTAAATCATCAGTGAATTGTCAGTAATATTGAAATCTTATCCTATTGTCTTATGCAGCATTCTGTGTTATGGCTTAGCCCAGCAGTATGCATATACAATAAAGATATTATTCTATTATGTATGGGCTGTTATTCTCAGATATTTAATTGCTTAAGGGCTTTTACAGAGAATATAATATACTATGGTAAGGTATGGGTATATAAAAATACAAATAAAAGAAGGTAGTTTGTCAATTCATAAGTAGTTTAGAGTCATATTTACCCTCTACTCCATTTTTTGTATTTATCATCCAACTCTTTCTGCCTCTCTGCTTTCTCTCTTAATTTCTGCCTTTCTTCTGAAGTCTCTCTTTTACCTGATAAAATTTAAACAAATCTTTGAATGTTGTAACAGATTTCAGAAGACTAGTAAGACTAATAAGAAATTATGTTAAGTATTTATTTAACTATTTTACTATTCTTTTTATATTATTTTACTATTGCATATTCATGCTTCTAATGTAACGGAATGAAGTTATGACTTTATTAGCAACATAAATAATTTTATACTGTTGTGCTAATACTTTTATGAATTTAAATATTTAAGTATTTTATGAATTTAAATATTTAGTTATTTCTTTTAAAAAAACTCTGCTTATAAATTTAGTTTAATATTTACTTGTGATTGAAGGAAAGTTGTGCTGCAAAATTAAATAAACACTTACTTCTTGAAACAGCTTTTGCATTCCTTCCTGAAACTTCATCAGTCATCTTCCTGAACACCTCTTCTTCTCTCTTCCTGAAGGCTTCATTCTCTTTCCGCAACTGAAGGGCATCTTGCAGCCCAGCCTTCTTTCCTTCCAGGGTCTTAGCCATTTTCATATTGGATGGTGGCGGGCTGTCACTGCTTCTTTGGTAATTTCTTCTCTCCTCTCTCCTACTGCTCTGCGCTTTTCTTGGCGGGGACGCGTCTGAATCGCTGCCACGCTTCGTTCTACTTCGTCCCTCTGGATATTTGTGCGACCCTTTGTGTCCTTTGTGCCTATCTTCCCGCGAGGTTTCTAACCAATTTCTCTTTTTATTTTCCGGGTACCTTCGTTCGCTGTTACTGTCGTTGACCGCTTGCCTCTGTGGCGATTGCTTTTTCCTCCTCGGAGGAGATAGGTCGGAGTCTGGGGTTCTGTTCCTTTTTCTTGACGAGGCATCCTTTCTCGATTTACTCGGGGGCGACGTGTCCGAATCGCACATAGCGCTGTTTTCGCTCCTGTGCGATCTTCTTGGTGATAAGTTGGTGGTGTTTGTTTTTGTTTTTACGTCTTTTTGTCTCTTGTCCCTCCTTGGTGGTGAGCTGTCTGAGCTCGGCGACTTTTTCCTATACCGTTTGCTCGTGTCCCCGTCGATTTGCTCCCAGCGGCTGGGTTTCCTCGTTTTCCCTTTCTTCTCTTTCCTCCTCGGCGGTGACAGGTCAGAATCGGACCTTGTGTCGTCGCATTTGGTATCCTTCGACGGGGACTGCGAACGTCTCCTTCTGGGCGGGCTAAGGTCGCTGTCGCTGTTGTTCCGGCTTTGATTTGTACCTGTTTTAGACCGGTCATCATTTTTCTTGCTCCTCGGCAGTGACAGTTCAGAATCGTAGTTCGTGATGTTCTCGTATTTTGTTTTCTTAGAAGGGGATCGCGTAATTCTATTTCTGGGCGGGCTTAGATCGCTGTCGCTGTTTTCTTTACTGTTCAGAGTTATTTTTGTTGCCGTTCTTGTCTCATCGTCTTTGTTCTTCCTTCTTGGTGGCGACGCGTCGGAGTCTTGCTGTTTCTCGTCCTCAGAATCGCTGTACATTTTCCCAAATATTAATTCATTTTCCTTTTCGACCTCTTTGACATCCTTCTTGATTTCCTCAACTTGTAGTTTGCTGTTAAAACCGTCATCCTGGAATTTTGTACCATATTATATTAATAATGTTATTAAACTTCATGTATCAATAACAATTTGATATGAAATCAACTGTTATTAATTAATTAAGGAATTGCAGTTAGCGTTGTTGCCACCATGCCGCGCGGATTAGGTTTATTAGATAATATGTCATTTTTGATAGATTTATTGTTTTAAATATTGGATAAATAAACAGTTTTTAACAAATAATATCAAATTTCATTACAGCTTTTTAAACCTTTAAAACCTTAATCTTTTCCCAATATGACTACAACCAAAACATTTTATCCAGGTTATGCTAATTAATCAAATTATTCTGTTGATCCAACCAATACAAAACTTCACAAGATCATCCACTGGGCTAATCTGAAGATTGCCTGAAAATTTCATCAAAATTTGTTAAGCCGTTTTACAGTCCATACATAAACATATAGATTTTTATATAAAACTAGCGACCCGCCCCGGGTGCTTCACATGGGTTCGCTTCACATGGGTGCAATGTAATATACATATAAACCTTCCAATTGAATCACTCTATCTACAACAAAAAAAAAAACGCATCAAGATCTGTTGCATAGCTTTAAAGATCTAAGCATACAATGGGGCAGACGGACAGCGGGACGACTTTGTTTTATACTATGTAGTGAAGATTTACAAGTAAATGTTAAAAGACTATCTTTTAGAGAAACCTGCAGTCCCAAGCTCCTACAAATGGGGCTAAGATTTTCCTGGCTGTCTTAACAGGCAACAAGGAGGGTCCTCGTTTTTTTAAGGAAAAAGTTGGCTAGCGAGCAGGCAGTGTAAAGTGTTTAATGCCACTTACATACATTATACATTTAAATTATGATATAATAAATATATAAATGCATTATGTACCTGATTGATCACTCGCCATTTAGAGGTAGTTTTGAATTGTTCTAATTTTTTGACATCATCTGGTCTTTCATCTATAATGCCAGCTATCTGTGGAGCATCTTCACCCTCATCAAGAATATCCAATTCATCTCCATCTAATGCCCGTAACTTAGAGAAATCTAAGTCATCATCTATAATTTTAAAGCTGTAAAAAAAAACTTACAGTTAATTAAGTAGTAGTGTAGTAATTATGGTATAAATGTCATGTACTATATTTTATGTTTCATTTAAAAACTTATTTTTAGAATATCTCATAAAAATAAACCACCAAACAGCAAACAGACTCACATATGGTAGCACCTGTTATCTGAGTAAAAGTTATTTCACCTTAATTATCAAGTATTCAGCAGCATAAAGAATCCGAAAAATGAGTTTCAATTATATCAGTAGTGTTATTTGAGGTGGAAACTGAAGAGAAATCTACAGGTGTCCATGTGTTTACCATAAATTTACTCACAGCAGAAAAAATAAGAATTGTTAACTTTTGACGTTATGAAAGATACTTTGGATGGTTTTATAACACTTTTATATTGAAAGGTAAAAGAATGTACGAGGGCCACCTTAATTACGCACATAGATAGATTGTGTTTGCTACAACAGGATATTCATAATACACAGTTCTTATAATAAGTAGAATCATATTTAAGAGCTTATAGTAATATTAGAGGGTTTCAAATGTCAATTTAGGAATGATATGAAACTATATATAATATTTTGTACAAATATTAAAACATAACAAATGATAAGAAAAATAATTTTACCCTTGTCCTTTGACGACTTTTTTCTTTTTCTTTTTCTTGATAGCCGATGGCCCGCCCAGATATTTCTGCAAATAGGCCTTTTGATCTATTGTTGTAGACATTTCTAATTAATATTTTATTTCAAAAAGTTTGTTCATTTGGTATCTAAATAAACGAAGCAAGAGTAACCATCCGTCAACTGCCACTGTCAGTGTCAAGTAAATGTCAATTGAGTTGGACTTCTTTTTTTAATTAGTTTAACGGCCCTGGAATCGGGCTTAAAGCCTATCTTACATGTACTTAAAAATTACTTTTACAAGTTACTTATACCTATTGTATTTACAATGAATTTATTTTATTTATTTATTTATTTAATCTTTATTGCCAACCTTCAGTAAAACAAGGTAACAAAGGGCGGACTTAATGGCCAAAGGCATTCTCTACCAGTCAACCCAGGATGTGGTGAGAGTTTATGGTATATTATAAGTTTAATTATATATAAACCCAAAATATTATAAGTTTATTTATATTAAACTTATAATATTTTGGGTTTCTGAGAAATTTTGGCAAATCATAAAATACTTGTGTATTTAAACATGAAAATATGGTTTGACATTTCATGAAAATATGGTTTAGGTCAGCAACTTCATTACAAAAAGTACATTTTGGGTTTGAGACAATTTTGAGTCTTGTTAAATGCGCAGGAATTCTACAGTGGCCGAATCTTAAGCGATTGATTTTTGTTATGAAGTTTTTGTTTAAAGCGTCCTTGTGACTATTATACCAGGGTCTTGGTGGCGGGGAGTTCTGATTTTTGGCATACCACTTTCCTTTTTTCTCGCTTACAATCTTCCAATATGGGAGCCATAACATTTTGAGCTTTTCATTTAACATCTGATAGAAGTCAGTAAAAGGAACTTTAAACAAGGAAGAGTGGTTCTCATCATACTCTCCTCTAGCCGCCCTATCTACTATCTCATTTCCGGAAATTCCACAATGAACCCATTTCAAAGTAATACATTTTCCTCTTTGGCTTAATTCATACAGTATTTCTTTCACATTATACAATATAAAGTTAGAACTATATTGCAATGGATTACTTTTCAAAGCTACCAAGGCACTCATACAATCAGATATAATTAAGATTTTAGAGCTATTTACATTATTATATATATATGTATTAGTACTTGGTAAATAGCATAACATTCAGCGGTGTAAATGCTGCACTGATTGTCTAATTTAAAACATTGAGTTAATTTTGTTTGAGGATCATAATATGCTGATGTTACAGTGCTTTAAGACTTTGATCCATCTGTGTATAATACATAAACATTTGGTAGATTATACATATAATCCAGGAATTCTATGTTTATATTAGTAATTAAGCACTTAAAATTTACTTTGTACAATGGTAAAAGTTTCGATAAATGTATATTTTTTTACAAATGTGTCTGAGTTGGACCTTTATTACCATAGTTGCCACTTACCAAGTTCATTTTGGGTACACTATTATTTTGTTTTATACTTTTATATTATTTCTTTGGTATTGTAGTTCTTTGAACAATTATAACTTTTTTCAAGACACGGAGAACGTTTGCTGTAGTGGATTAGATCGGTTGGGAAAACCACGGATTTTCCTGAAACCAAAATGCGCCTAGTTCTCTTCCTTTGAGGTGGTGTGAAATAGAGAATTAGAAAAAAAAAACATATCTTTTATCACAGTAATTATAGATTAGTCGCAAAAAGTTAAAGATTGGTTCTACTCAAAACTGGTTCAATCAAAGAGGTAAAAAGTAAAAGTCATAATATTATATTGCATATGATACAAGATTTCATTTGTGTAATTTTTTTTTAAATACATCAACGAGTTTTTAGGGTTCCGTACCCAATGGGTAAAACGGGATCCTGTTACTAAGACGTGGAGTCTTAGTAACAGGATCTGTCTGAGGATCTGTCACTCTGTCTGTCCGTTTGTTACCACGCTGTATCTCATGAACCGTCATAGTTCGGCAGTTCAAATTTTTACAGATGATGTATTTCTGTTGCAACATAATAAAAAATATTTCAGTGGGGCTCCCATACAACAGACATGATTTTTGCTGTCGTTTTTATAGACGATGGTACGGAACCCTTCATGCGCGAGTCCGACCTGGCCGGCTTTTTTTATTTCTAAGTCTTCTACAGTTTCATATCCGCCTACTACCGCACGGTAACGAAGACGGTACGAGAATTAAATTGTATGTTACGTAAAATTTAAGAATTTCAAAGCTTAGTTTTAACGTTTTGTTAAGCATGATGAAAAGAATTGTACAAAAATGGACGAAAATTTTTTGTACAAAATTTTAAATATCAACCTTCATTGCTTCTATCCCACCCTTGCCCATTGAAAGCAGTTCCCCAAGGATTAGTACTGTTACGGACTAGGGGTTGCGTTTTTATTTGATTTTTTAATTCCCAACGTTTCAAACCCTTTCCAGCGTTCATGGTTAGGGGACAGATTGAGTTATTTCACATCCTCATGCAATCAATTATACCAGAATAAAGAAAAACATAGCAGACGTGTAGCACCTGAAGTGGTCGCATGCTAGTTATTACAGAATATTCTTATTGGTAGCCATTGTACTATGTTTTCTCGTAGTTTCTAATTTATTTCTTTGGATGCCTCCGCTGATAGAAAATCAATAGGAACTATTAATAGATAAAAAAAGATCGGAAAAACGGCCGGGGTACATGGGAGTTCCGGTCAGAAATGGGTACGCATTGAAAACCCACGTTGCATCTGTTTCTGGTAGCACTAGGCGCTGACGACACAACACTATACGTGGCTATTTGCCACAAACCCCGGATTATTATCTGCTTTAAATCTACACTAAATCTCTAGGCGAATGATTCCTAAAGCAGCGGATCGAAGACAATCCGGGGAAGAGTTATCATGTTTGTCATTGTGATTAACACCAAAAGAAAAAAAAAATCCTCCCAACGGCCAACTCGTTCAGACAACCCATTGCTTAGTAAGCAAGGCCGAGGCGTTGCGTCAGATAAATATCTCATATTCAAACAGCACATTAGCACTGTAGCGGCGAAGTACGTAATATATCACCTGGCAACATAAGCGTCTCGTAAAATATCACCAAGACTCAAAGTTAATTTATATAAAAGCATGTATACGTCCCATTATGACATACCCAAGTGACTTTTTCGCACGTATCATACACTTGGAATGGTTTCGAGTGAATATAAATTGACCCCGTGGTATATGCAGAACACCGAATTGCGCCTCGTTAAAACTACAACCAACTTCAATTGATTCAACTTTTTCTAGGTTTGGCTTCATACGTGTATCTTTCTGTATCTATCCCGCACTTCCTCAAGCCATGACAGATGAAATATTAAATTACATTTATAATATTATACTGAATGCGTTTTTTTATCGATGATCGCGGTTCAGTCCGTAGACTATTAGGATAAAATTTCATTGAGTTCGGAACTCGTGGCAAATCTACATTTCCAAAAGCTTGACGGACCCTACCAAAGCAGAGTCATGTATGTCATTAACAAAATGAGACCATTGTCGACTCCGGCTCTTTGAGGTCCGATATGCGAACATCGGTGGTCGCTGTGTAAGTTTGGGTGAGAGATGTAGCTTGTATACGTGATGTGTCCGTTTCACTGTGCTCGCAAGCGAGGGCGAAATAGTGTGTTGTTATTTAACGCTACGTTTTTGTGAAGTATTTGTCGGGGGACCGAAATACTTTCTCCTCCTTTTTCGATTGCACTACGAGAAATTTAACGCATTGCTATAACAAACAAAATGTGCATAAACACAGTCGAACTTCAGGCATGCATCGTCTAATGAAAAAAAAAATCTGTATAATGCTTCAAATACATGTTTTATTTGCTTAAATTTGACTATTTACTAAATCGTGCGTCCAGTTTCTTTTGCCTAGGTCGTCATGTTTCCGTAGAATCCCTTTGGCTTTTCATTTGCGATCGTTGTCGTCATCGTCATCGTCGTCTTGACGTTCCCGCTGCAAAATGATTTAGGAAATAAGTAAACTGTCTATTCATTATATGGCCCTGCTAGGCAATCCGTAGCAAATTCTCCTCTCGTACAGAGAATATTATAGCATAGTACGCCGTTATAGAGTTCACATTTCCTAAGTGTATATTTTTAAATTATTTCTTAAATATGCAAGTTTTCTAACAAAAATCAGAATTGAAAATTACTGTCAACAATAAATAAACAATGTCATTGGTACCGGCACCTTTGGAATATGGTTAAGTTAAAAGCGAGGGCATTGCTCTTAAGTTTATATGGGCGTATTAATAAAAGTACAAATAGATATATGCACATAAAACATTGTATACCAAATAAAATGTAGAGTTAATATAAAAGTAAAAGTTCTATGAACTTTTTGTATTGATTTCGCCCTCGTAGATCTAGTTACCCTGAACTGATTGGCAAATAAATTTTGGACCCAGTTTATGAATGGAGTAACGATAAATTTTTCTTGAGTGGACGTCTGTGATGCAATAGGATGCATTTCAAGTGGTAAGCACCAGTTTTTTAAGCTGTGGGTTGATCAGTATTATATTGCCTTTAAGGAAAGTCGAGGCAATAGTGTAATTTCTTAGTCACATTCTTGGCGCATATAACAGAATCAACAAGTTGGTAAAATCGTTAAGATTCTGGGGCAGGTTGGGGTTTATTTCAGAATTGCGATAAAAAATCATGAATGCTATGTAAATTAACGAATCTATTTTAAGCGTTTGGAAAATGTGTTCATAGAAAAAATTATCTCATTACGATTTTAAGTCTTACCAAGTATCCCTGTGCCTGGAACAATGACAGATATAATGAATAAACGATTAGGAAGATAAATGATAGTTTTCTTTGATATCAACAACTAAATCACGATACATATAGCTTTTGTCTTATCTTCAATTAGCGACCCACCCGGGTAGCACTATTCATCAAAAATAACTTCTGTTCAAACTTTACGGTATTATCACCCGCCTGGATAATCTGAAGATATTCTGCCTTAAAATTTCATCAAAATCGGTAGAGCCGCTTAGGAGACCTTGGGAATATACACAGACACAGACAGAATATACACTTGGGAATATTCAAACACCGTTTCTATATACATACATGTATTATAGATGGGATAGTGGAAAGCGATTATAAACATTTATTACTGTACGTATGATTTTGCAAACGTGTAAATATCAACGGATATAGTGGAAACAATATTAACAACGTTTGGGGATTGTCTTTATGGCTTACTCTGTCTTTCCATACTCAAGGTACCTTGTGTTGCATAAATGTAAGATAGTAAGAGAATTTCCCACAAAGAAACATAAAATGAGATACTCATTGACAGAATGTGCGTCTCTCAAATCTCCATTAAATATTGTTGTAAAAGACAATCACTTGTTTCTATTTTTAGAAACATTTCTAGTCTAAGAAGTCTGTAAGATGCATATTGGGCCAATCCACTCAAGTCTTATAATCGACGTCTTTCACAATGGAAAAATGTAACAATAATACTATTGTGAAACACTTACATTATACACGTTCCCAGAGTAGTCCTGATGGATATTAAATGAATTTTTACTATTTTTATTTACATATATTTTAACATAAAATTGAGAGAAAAGAACTAAAAAAAAACATTAAATAATGTCGTGGATCCCATAAAACGTTTCGTTTATTTTTAAGGACTTTTAAGGAGGACTTTTAACATGCATTGGAAAATGTTATCGGTGTCAGCACCTGGTGGAGCCATTGTTCCTCCTAAAATATATTGAATTAAAAGGAGAGCATCCGACACTATGTTACTATATTCCAGAAAATTATGAAAAAATATTTTATACTCACAGGTTTATATTGGTTCAAGTTGTAACTGGGGTCAGAATAATACTGCAAAAGAGAATGGAAATAATACATTTTTGCATTAAATGTTACCTCCCACACTGTTCAGGTGTTTGGATGATGAACTGTTCCGAAAGATTGTATAATTGTTATGGATTTGATGTTTACTTGTGTGCTTTATGAAAAGTTACCGTAAACAACTTCTATAAAACTAGACTATCACATCCTAGTTGGAGAAAACCAATTTTGAATAGAAATGCTTATTAAAAGAGTTTCGTCGGGTAGTCAAATTTTTATCAATAATAGATATGAATCGATTTCAAATAATTTGGTCGAGACCCTTTACGAGTCAAAACAAAGTATACGAAGAAGAAAGTTACTAAAGTATTAGCTATGTATTGTAGAGCTATTTCAAAACAATAAACTATAAAAAATGGCAATACAAACAAACATCCTTTCACCCCAAACCTTCTGCGTTCCGTCGTGGGTAAGAATAAAGTTAATTGACACGGAATTTTTTGAATGAACTTATCAGCGTCAATCATTCAGTTAGACAGTTTTTACGGCAGGAGATGGCACGCATTTAAGTAACTCGTAAATGTATTCAGCTATTTTGAAAATAATCTGAATACGAAAGCTGGATGGATACTTACCAGGTCATTGTAGCTTGGTTGAGGACGCTGAAACGATTATTATCATATAAATTGGAGTCAGCATTATGATCATATTGACTGATCATTGTAAATACATTGCTATGGAATGAACGCGTATAAAGGACGATATTTTCCGTAAATCACTTAACAATTGGTCTATATTTTGCTTTATACAAATTATACAACTCAAAAAGCCTTGCATAAAGATCCGCAGTTAAGGGTAATTAATTGTTAGCACTCAAAATAGCACTGTGCCTTTTAGGTGTTAACTCAAAGCTACGATTATTTTGCATTATTTATTTTCTCTTCTGCAGTAATATTTATAATAAATTCGATGGTTGGTTTTTTAGAATGTGTATCCTGTGCTGGTTAACTTATTAATTTATAACTGATGTACCAGCAGTACAAATAATTACGTATCTTGCTATATCGTAGTCCGCTCTTTGATCGTTATTAACTGTTTGGTGAATAGTTGGGTACCCTAATTGGTCCTTTATCTTGATGGTAACATTAGTTCTTTTTTCTTTACTACTAACTTACCTTGACAACGTACGGGCTGTATAGCTGAAATCAATTGAGGTCAAATTATGAGCATCAATTAACTTAAATAAACGTGATGTGGAAATATTCTAAGTAAAACTTCAATTGAAAATGGATTCTAGTTGTATACCTTCTCTTCTCTACCGTAGTAGGGGTTGGGGTTGTTGTACTGAAATAAATTAAAAAACAACAATTAAGATATTTTTTAATCAAATTTAGCCAATCTGTATATTAAAATATCCTTACTAAAATAAATAGTTATCAAAGGATGTGAAACCACTTAAGCTAAGAATCTAAACAATAATCAACGTCAGGGAGTTATTTTTTACATAAATAGACCGATTCGTATAGGGAAGAAATTCTCAAGGTGTTTTGAAGGGTAGGAGAATTTTAATACATTTGCTTTTCGTCTTGCTAGTGAGGCCATCATCCACTCTTTATGGATGCCCTGGGCAGGCGGTGATCACTTTAAATCAGGCGAAACGCCTGTTCGCTTGCCAGATTCCCACGAAAAAGACATTTAGATAGAGGCATATATAAAAATAAATAAAAATAATAATAAATGCATACTTTAGAGCACATTTTTACACAACGATCTGATAAACATATCTTTCCTCGGCAAATAACTTGAATATATATTTGTGTATAATAATATCGGTATATACATATAGTTTTAATAGATAATAAAATGGTTTGTTAAGAAAATCTATTATTTACTTTGTTTGATTTTAGTGAAACTATCAAATGTTCAAATAATTAAGTTTAAGCATTTTCCATTAAATTTACCTTGTAGTTATTATAATAGTAGTAGTATGGTGACTGGAAATTAAAAGAAAAATAGTTTGTAAGTATAAACGTATGTAAACGGATTAATGTTAATTTTATTAACATTATAGAAGGTGCGAAAGCATTTACGTGTAGGTTCTTCCTACATGTGTAGGCAGAATTAATAATCTGTATCATAAATACTTTTTAAGAAAGTACCTTGTCGCTGTCGTAGTTGTAGGTGTTCTGAAAATAGGAGAAAATCAAAATTAATAAGAGAAAATTAAATAAAAACGTTAAATAATTAATTGATTTTGTAATAAAACTACTCCTTGTGATATTAAGGACGAAATAATATAAACGCAGAGTTTTTTTTTCATTTAAGATGGCAAGTGAGCTGGCGGGTCACCTGATGTTAAGTGGTAACCGCCCTTCATGGACATTTGTAACATCCGTAGGGTCGCAGATGCGTGATGCACCTTTTAATAATATGGGCTCCGGTTGTCTCACTCACCGGAAGAAAATCAGAAGTATTAACATCACTCCTCTACGCCGGTTTTCTGTGAGTTCGTGGTACTTCCCCACACGGACCTGCCCATTCGAGCAACAGCGATGACTGTAGCGTGGCCCTACCACTATTAAAACATATTAGACGGAATGTCTATTAAAAGGCCACGGCCTCGGCTGTTGCTAGGATGGGCAGGCTCATTACCACGACCTCACAGAAGACCGGCATGAAGCGGAAGTATAATACTTTCGCGTTCCGTCTGGTGAGTGAGGTGGCCGTAGGCCAATTTTCAAAAGGTTGTCAACGCATCTGGAACCCTCGGGTGTAGCAGATGTCCATGGGCGGCGGTTTTCACTGAACATCAGAAGAACCACCTGCTCGCTTGGCATAAAAAAAAATTAAAACGTAAACGTGAACGTCTATGAAACGCCCATACACTAGTCGAATATATAGATCGGACACAAGTCCGAACTATACTGTATCATAAATATAATTTAAGGCAACATTGTGGTAACGTACTGTGGGAAAAACAGTGGGCAGTTCGTTTAGATCAAATAAAAAGAAATGGTGTTTATATTTAGACAATAAATATGCTTACCTTGTTGTAGTACTGGGATACATACTAAAATGAAAATCAACCATTAAGTGTAAATAGACAACTTATTCATGGACATGTATTTTATTTCGCAATTTTTGAAAACACGCATAAATAAATTAACTATCGATGAACTTAAACATCCATCATAAGGCATCATAGGATTTTGCCATAGTTGCCACGCCCTGCGAGGTGGTAATCGCGGTTTTATTCCATGTTCAGCAGTGGACTCGCACAGGCTGAAATGTTGATGATGATGAAACCTGTACTTGAGGTTTTGGTTTTTGGTTTTTTGTGTTTTTATTGGTTTGATATAGTTTCATTTGGGCGGTAATCTTTTCACTATTCTTACGAACCCGGTCAAGATATTGATTATACATTAGATATTACAATAAAAATAAACCTTGTCGTTATCGTAGTTGTATGTCCCCTGGGGAAAAAAACAAACTAATTACACGAAGCTTTTTCGATTTCTCAAGGGTGACGCAAAAAAGAAATGGAAAGCTAGATTTAAAGCGCAATGAAAGATAAAGGTTTCGATTAGAGTGAAATTTATCTAATGTGAAATAAATCTAATTTGAGATTTCTTAAAACATTGAGGAAATGCTACAGGCAATTAATACATTTATTTACCTTGTAATAGTTGGGGTGCGAGTACTGGAAAATAGTAGAACAGTATTAAGAAAATATTGCTAAATAAAAATATTTTACGTACTTTATCGCAACTAATCGTCTCACTACAATGGCGATAAACTAAACGCGATAAAATTCGTAAAATAAGAAATACAAGAAATCATTATTAACGAGACAGATAATGGAAAAATTATGAATGTACAGAATATGAAAAAGAGGGACGTGGGTTGGAACATAGAAATTTAATTTTAAAGTTAAACAAAAAAGAAGTTTTACAAACGTTCTTACTAAAGATTAACAATTGATTTTTCATCGGTGTCGATTAAACAGTAGGCATTTGTTTGAGTTCCGAGCTTAAGGAGCTTTATAAAAGTAACAGCCTATATATGTCCCACTGCTGGGCAAAGGCCTCCTCTATACAGAGGGTATCAGGGCATAGTCCACCACGCGGCCCCACTGCGGATTGGCGGACTTCACATATTTTCGAAATATATATATATTTTTTTTATTATTTCTAAAATATGCAGGTTTCCTCACGATGTTTTCCTTCACCGCGGAGCACGTGATAAGTCAGCACTTAAAGTTAAAAACTTCATTGGTGCCGGCACCGGGGATCGAACTCAGGTTGCTCGAGTATATTGAATTAAAGGCGAGCGCCCGGACACTGAGCTATCACGGCTATAAGGAGCTTTATGCTAGCTATTTTTTACAAAATGCGCATGAGTTTTAGAGTTTGTGTAAAGTCATTAGAAATTGTAAAGACCCTGCCATAGTTTGAAGTTCAAAACTATAAGTGCTTATTCCGATTTTCTCTATTGGAAAGATAGTCATACGTATGTGGGAGATAAATGAAACAGAAACCTTGGAGGGATCGTATACTGCAGCCTGAAAGATGATAAAGAAAAAGAGATTAAACAAACAAAGAAAGTAAACCTTATCAGTTTTTCTAGAAACTTAAATATATTATTTTGTAAATATTAAAGAACTAAATGACAAAATAATTTTTAACTGAGATTCAAAAAGTTATTAATCACACGTCACTGGACATCGTATCTTTTGTCTTATAACTTTAATAGGTCTAATAATGTTAGAGAAAAATCGTGTTAGATGGAAAGACAGGGTACGGAACAGCAAGAAAAAGAAATCCTAAAATAATCTATTTTAGGTTAAAGTAATTTCGGATAGATTGCACTACTTTGATTGTCAGAAAATTTAGGAAAGCCAACATCCAAAAGGCCAGTGGAATTGCATTGTTTTAATATCTTTTGTGAAGCTGTGTACTTTATATTGGTATATAAATTAAAATTGCATCCTTTGCTTAATAAGTTTTAGAGTTAAGAAGTAGGAGAGAAAAGATGTAATAAAAAAAAAACTTGGGAGGGCCACGTAGCAGCCTAGGCAGGCAAAGAAGACACAAATGGGGGGCAGGCTCGACCGGGTAAGTACCACGACCTCACAGAAAACCGGCGTCAAGTGAAAGTATAATACTTTCGCATTTCGTCTGGTGAGTGAGGTAGCCGGAGCCCAATTTCCAAAAGGTTGTCAACGCATCTGCAATACTCGGGTGTAGCAGATGTCCATGGGCGGCGATATTAACATAACATCATGAACCGCCCGCTCGCTTGGCAACTTTTCACATAAAAAAAATAGCAATAAGGCAGCCTATATGTACACTGTGTTTCCTGTATTTTCTTCGTATATATTTCCTTGTATGCAATAAAGTATATTCTATTCTATTCCACTCTGTTCTATATAAATATTGCCACAATTTCAAAGATGAAGAAGTAAGAGATAAGAAAGGTTAGAAGGTGCATTATATTAATAATAAAAAAGTAGAAACCAAAAATCGTAATACCTTTTCATTCTCGTGAGTGTGGGCTCCCTGAAAAGTCAATAAATATATTTTGCAGGAGGCACGTATACTCGCATTTACATGTTAATACGTTAAAATTACTGTTTTTTTTATTTGAGGAGGTAAACAATATAGGGAAGGGAAGGGAAGGGAGCTGGTGGTTCAATTCTTTCGTTCTTTTTTTTCTATCCGTTGTTAAGTGATAACCGTCGCCCATTGACATTTGAAACACCCGCAGTGTTGCCACCTCTTAATAAATAAGTGAGTTTGTATTAACCTTTTGTTACAAAACATCGTTGTGGGTCCGAATCTCAAAGGCGTATTAATCAATTTCCCCGCATTAAGAAAATTTTTAAGCATAACGGGTGTAACTTAAACTCATTCATGGTAAAGCGATAGACCCGTGTCATATCAGAGGCCTAAAAATGTTTCTAGACGTGCTCTATACCGAATTGATTATTACAATATGTAGTTTTTTATAGAATTATTATCATACTATAAAATATTACAGTTAATGAATCGAGTTCTTGCTTAAAATGATTAGAGCTCAATAATAATTTCTAATTACCTTGTCATTGCGGGAATTGCCCTGGATAAAACATAGTTTATTATAATTTAATACATAATTCCATAGAAAAGTGGTTGTGCACGCGTCTTCGGCCACGTAAAGACGCGTTATAAAATATAGAATATATATATTTCATTACGTGAAAGTAAAAAGAGTTAATAACAATTTGTAGTGTCGGCGATCCCCCATTAAATGGAGTGTCGACCTGTCCAAGTGTGCGGAAAAGCGAAGGATGCAGGTGGCTCTGGATCGTGCTTCGTGGCCGTGGGCGAGGCCTATGTTCAGCAGTGGGCTAGAGTAGGCCGAAATGATGATGACAAATAAATAATGTGTTTACGTTTTACGAACATAAATTTCACGCGGACAAACACCCAGATGCGAAATGATTTTGTGGGTCACACAAATGTTGTTTGGGAATCAAACCCACGACCCCCGACGCCGAAGCCAATACCTTGGCCACTGCGTCACGGAGTCATCAAAGCTATAAGTTGTTATTTGACGCTGGGGTTTGTGAGTAATTGATGGTTCCCTGGTCAGACCGACCCTTTCATATTGTAGATACTAATACGGGATTGCTAAAAGAAAATGATATAAGTTCAAAGTTCTTGCAAATGAAAGTTGTGGTATAAAGGAAAAGTTAAATAAAGGAAGTATTGTATCCGGTCAATGCTGAAAGTTAGGGATTGGTGATATGTTCCAGTTATATCCTTACTAATATTATAAAGGCGTTTGTATGTATGGATGGATGTTTGTTATTCTTTCACGCAAGTACTACTGAATGGATTTTAATGAAACTTTACAATAATATAGCTTATACATCATAATAACATATAGGCTATAATTTATATACATATTTTTTTGTATATCTGTCTTTCCGTCTGAATGTTACGCCTTCAGCCTATTATTCTACGCAGACGTAGTCGCGGGCAGCAGCTAGTCATCTATATTTATTTACCTTGGCTCCGTAGTATGGCCGCTGGAATGGAGATGACAACTAATTAAATGGTAAGTCCCCTCAGTATATCATTAAAATTTTAGACATAAGTACAACTAGGGCCTCAATCGACATTTAAATCCTTCGTCATACTAATAGTTTTTTTCCGCATGAGTTCAATTTTCCATTGACTTTACAAGCATCAGTCGACAATGTTAATTTATTCATTTGTACCTCTCCAAATGTTTAAAAAATATCATCATTCCTGATTATATCCTTTTAAACATATATATTATATAAAATGTATAAAACTTATTTAAAATGTATAAAAACCTTATAGTATCCCTGAAATTAAATGATAGATATTTAAAGATCGCTTTTTACAAGTAAGTCTAGTGTAAGGCGAGCGAATTAGATTTGTACATTAGAATATAACAGGACGACGTGAACTTATAAGACAAGGATAACTCACCTTATCATTGTAGTATTCGTACACGTTCTGGAAGGGTTAATTAAACGTAAACATTAATTTGACGTCTTTAGGGCTAGTGTATCAAATCACAATGAACTTAATTGGTAAGAAATCAAACTTACATCGCTGCCTTTGTTGTAGTAGTTCTATAAAATAAAAGTGTTATACGATTATAAAAATGTTGTGTGAAATAACACGATATACACAAGATAATAATTCTATTAATATTTTTTTTTGTGTTTGAATACATATTACACATACTATTTAAAATATTCGAATATAAAAACCTGTCTGCATTTTTACTTACGTTATATCCGTATTGGTATGAGTACTGTAATACAAAGGCCATATTTAATTTTACATGAAAATCGCTTTAGTAGGTAGAATATATTTCAATGAGGGGCACCTTTGAATATGACCATGAATAAGGATAAACGTCTTTTTAATATATTTCATATTTTTGTATATCATAAACTAGCTGTTTAGCAAGCGAGCTACCCACGTTTCAATTAATTTTCGAGCAAAAATTTTATTACATTGTTAATGAGTTATAAATATTAACATAAATGGATAAGGTTATGCATTTCAAGTATCCGATACTATAAAATTGAATAGAATAATCCGGTCCACGCGGTCATTTAAAAGAGAATAAGACAGTAGTCATTAGAAAAAAGTATCATATAAAATCATATGATGATATTTCATACATCATATAAAATTCTCGTGTTTGTAATTCACGGGGTTTGTAATTGAACTCCTCCGAAACGGCTCGACCGATTTTCCTGAAATTTTGTGTGCATATCGGCCAGGGTGGAGAATCGGACAACATCTATTTTTCATCCCCCTAAATGTTTTTAACCTAACACTTTTTTCTACCCTACAAATAATTTAAATGGCAAAACAACGTTTTCCGGGTCAGCTAGATATATATACATATAAAATATGGCAGATAATAAAAAATTCTTATATTTTTACGTAACTGTCCAAAATGAATAATTTATTCACTTACTGAGTTATCTTCTGGTGCAACCTTTTGTAGTGGAAATAAATAAGAAAATAATTAAATATTATTAAAAACGGGAAATCAACTAATACATCTTAAAACTTTAGATCGATTAGTGTTATTAAAAAAATGTGATAATAATAAAAAATCTTTATCTACTCGAATTATTATACAGTATGTTCCGTTTTGTAAAATTGAAAATGTAAAACCGTTTCAAGTCGAAATTAAATATATTGTTATTATAACTTTTTCGTCACATTTATTTAACATTTTGTAACCCACACAGTAGGCATAGGGCTCAATAAATCACGTACATTTCGACGTGAGAGCTCGAATTGTTTTCGTGCAAAAACCGACCGAGGCTTAACAGGGAATGTCGTTCGTTTAACAAAGTAATGGGTTCGTAAGTACCGAGGATTATTGAGGAGGGTTCCTTTCACCATATTTTTATTTAAGCTTTCCCGTGTTGCTATTCGAAAAAAAAGTCGGAAGCTGTTTATAGGGTTCCGTATCCAAAGGGTAAAACGGGACCCTATTACTAAGATCGGCGGAGTCTCTCTGTCTGTCTGACCGTCTGTCACCAGGCTGTATCTTATGAACCGTGATAGACAGTTGAAATTTTCACATATGACGTCTGCTCGCTTGAATAATTTTCACATAAAAATAATACATCCGACGCCGCTCTTTGTTGTCTCAGTGGAAATTTGATAATAGCTTTCTGGCCAATCAATTTAAGATCCATAAAGGCTTTTCATTCTTCTTTAAATGTTATACTGAAATAAATTCCGGCATTTCCAACGGAAGAAATCTAATAAATGTTGACTTACGTATTTGAAGTGAAGGCTCTGGAACAGATTACAATATTTGTAAATTCACTCATTTATTTGTGCTTTATTGCGAACGTCGCAAGTAGGAATTACGAAGGGCGGACTTAAAGCCAATTAGCATCCTATTGGAAGAGACTTATATTTACAAGATTCCCCGTAATATATTTATAATTTGACCCAGTTGCGTGCTGGATAGAGGACCTGTCCTATGCAACAGAGGTTGTGGGTTCGATACCTACTACACGAAAATATTGTGCGATGAACATAGTGTTTTTGCAGTATCTGGCTGTTTATATATCTATATATGTATTTATTCATCAAAGATATCTATGTTTATTACCTATCTAGTAACCATAGTACAAGCTTTGCTTAGTTTGGGACTACATAACTTTGTGTAAAAACATGCCCTGATGGATAAAAAAAATTATTAGTGACCGTTTTAGAATTTTCGTCTATCTGAAAGTTTGTCTCAAACATGTTCAGAAATAACTCAACCGATTTCAATAATAGTTTTAGGATTTAGACTGAGATTTTTTAATTTAAATATTTTTTTATATCTCATCTTGGTGAGTTAAAATAACTTTTTCAACTATCATTTAAATTCCTTTACGAGTTAGACATGACCAAATTCGCGGCCTAAGCTAGAATAATTTAAGCATGTAGTATATTAGACGCTGATTGTATATATAATTCTCGTGATGTATTCTATAAGAAACGATTATATCTTTATATATATAATTCTTCTGTACGTGTGTATATCACTGAGCTCCTCCTAAACGGCTGGACCGATTTAAATGAAATTTAAATGAATTTTTGTGTGTTTCAGGACGATTCCAGAATGGTTTAGATTCACAATTTGGTCCTCTACATTTTTTTTATTACTAAATTGTCGAATTAAAGCCGTGTGTATAGGACAACGTTTGTCCGGTCCGCTAGTTGTGTATATAATTCTTCTGAGTACTAGGATAGCAACACTCCCAGCTGTCATTTTGTATTATTCACTTAACAATTTGCGTACAGCTTGCAGCACTGTTGTTCGCAATTTTGGCCAGTGTTCTTCGAGGATATGTCCGAATGGAAAATATATTGCTTCATATACTTACTCCCAGATTGTAAAGCTTCGAGCTGGTCTGTGGAATGACAAATGTTTTGTTTCAGTCATTTTTTTAATTTATGCAACTTACTGTTTATTTCAAAGGATTTTCACTAATAATATACTATATCACTATATCAGAAGCAATCACTCGCTTTTCTTGTCTCTTTCTAAACGCTTAAGCAATGCGAATTTGAATACATTGAGGACAAGGATGTTTGGAAATGACTCTGCACTTGCAAGACCCCTGGCTGCTGCTGATTTTATACCTAAATAAGTGTGTATAATTGCATCAAAAAAAATATATATAACAAAAAGAACAAGACCGCAGAGTTTCTTGCCGGTTCTTCTCTGTGCAGGTCTAGTTAAGTGAACCGGTGGTAGATTTTTTGTTGACGTTCAATAAGAGCTTAAGTTAGGCCTATATTGAATAAATATACTTTGACTTTGACTTTAAATGGGTTTTGAGGATAATGGATATGTCTTCATATTCAAATTTTAACGTGTCCCCAAAAAGCAAAAAAGGCAACCAACCAAAAGAAAATGAATACAAAATCATATAAATTATTAAATGGAACCAGTTTTACGGATTTTATCGTCTTAATTTTCCGTCTAGTGTAGACACAAAGTATGATGTTGCATCCAGACACAAATAATTCTAAATAAGGTACTAAATTTCTAAATAAAAGCGCGACAAAATCCATCAAAATAGTTTCCTTTAATAAAAATAAATACTATTCCACTAAAACTCGTAAAAACACAAATCATTAATGAATGGTTATCATAGCAAAATGTATTTAATTTGAGAAAACTTACATTTCTCTGTTTGGGCGGACTCTGAAAATAGGCACAGTAGTTATACAATTTTGTTTACTTTATGCAAGGAATAATATTTAATTTATATTTTAATAATATCAAATTAGCCAGAGAGCTCAACAGCTCTCTGATTATATGATAATATTAATATAGATATCATTCAGTTTGTAAGCTAAGGGTATTCCGTACATTCCTATAAGCCCATGAATCCGTCGTACAATTCTTTCAGTTTAGCCCTTTAAATTTTAATTGAACGTAGGTTTGAAGACAAAAATTATTCGATTACAAATTTTCCATTATAATAAAAGACGTAATAGCATGAAGCGAAGATTAGATTGATAAATAAATATAATGAAAGTTAAAAAGGTTTAGTACCCTGTATTTCATTTGTATCCATGTATTTTCAAATAAAAGGAAAGTTCCCAGCCAATGTAACACAAGGAATAAAATAAAGAAAGATTTTTTAAAAAGTGTACAAAGTAAATTAAAGTAACAGCCATGATTATATTTGTCCCACTGCTGGGCAAAGACTACCTCTGTACAGTGGACATTATACTTGGCGTATTATTTGGGGACATAGTCCACGACGCGTCCCCGCTGCTGACTGGCAGACTTAACAAATATTCGAAGCGTATTTTTGTTACTGTTTGGAAATTATGAAGGTTTTCTAAAGAAGTTCTCCATCACCACTGGGCACGTGATAAGTCAGTACTTAAAATTCTAATGAGTTACTTTATTGGTGCGGCACCGGAATTTGACCTAAGGTCGCTCGAGTCCATTGAATTTAAAACTAGCCACTAGCTATCACGGTTTAAAAATTGTATATTACTACATTTTATATATTACTATACAGCGTGTCGTTACCATCGCGACAATAAATGAACACACGTCTAACGCTACTTGCCAATAATCATAAAAAAATATTAACGTTAAACAAAATCCATAATTAAAAAAAAAATTTTTTCAAACAAACTAATTAAGTAAAAAAGAAACAAAATTTGTAACATCCTATACAACTCCCGCCACAGCGTCGCATTACAAGCCTCTCCTTTTAACAGTATATTTTGTCTCTTTTAAATTCATTCAACCCATTCATATGCTTTGTGACCTTTACAAATGAACTTTACGTTACAGTTTTATACGTAAGGGTGTTCTAAAATTGTTTGTTTTGGAAAATGTAATAACTCGGTAAATATTGATGTTTAAAGAATGTAAATGTATAATATGATTTTAAAAAGTTATCCTCTATATGTGTGTTCATTTATTGTCGCGATGGTAACGACACGCTGTATACTACATTCTATATTGGAATATACTCCGGCTCATATTATCCAATATCATGATGCCTGGTATTGCTGTGCAAATCTTTTGATTCGAATCACCCCCGGTCGATTGCTGCCGTTAATTCGGATTAGACAGAGGGGACGAGTGAGTGCATCTTTGTAAGCGCATTACGGTACTATAATGGTCCCTGTATTAAGCTCTAGAATTAGATGAAGTAAGTAATGCGAGATTAACAGGAAAAAAATATTTTGGTTATATATCCTAGCGTTGAGCAGCAGATTCTACTGTTGCATAAATGGGCAGGCTTGTTGTATCACAGCCTTACAGAAGACCAGAGTGAAATGGAAACAATATACTTTTCGTTAGGTGTGTGAGGTAACCCAGGCATCTCCTTAAAATGTTGGCAATGTCTCCAATCCCACGAGTGTTAGGTAGTCAAAGGTCGCTTAACGTCAGCTAAACTAGATGCTCCCTTGTGTCAGTTGTACAGAGGTGACCTTTGCCCAGCAGTGAAAGATCTCCTTTGTATAGAGGGCATTAGGTCATAGTCATCCACGTGACCCCACTGCGGATTGGCAGACTCCACATATCTTCGAAATACTTCTATTTGTTAATATTTCGCAGGCGTCGTGATTCCTAACGATGCTTTCCTTCGCCGCTAAACACTTGATGCGCTAGAACTTAAAATTAGAAAATTCATTGGTGCCTGCACCGATATTAGAGCCCAGGTTGTTCGAGTATATTGAGTTAAATGCGAGTGTTCGGACACAGCTATGGCTCTTCGAAGTGAGGCCACGGGTGCCCAAATTTTTTAAAGTTGTCAATGCTACTGCAACCTCTAAGATGTTTTAAATGTCCATGGGCGCTGTACCTATTTGGAGCGACTCCGGGATCTCCTACGGAACGCACTGGTGTCTCTCGGTACGGCCTTTGAGCACGCTTCGGAGAAGGATGAACCTTCCGCGATACCCTACAACATCTTGCATTTAGTGGCAAGAGCATTTCTCACTATTGCTAGTCTATGAACCCAACGTCCCCTTTAAGTCACCTTTTACGACAGACAGGGGATACATTAGTCCTATTCAATTAACCTGGGACTAAAAGGCCGTTCAATCAGGTGACAACATTGCTTAGCTTGACAACTTTCTACATAAACATAAACATTTTTACATCGTACTAGAATGTAAAGTAAGTACTAAATTCACTGCCATCAAGCTAATATGAGTTTAGTCCGACATTTCTCAACAACTGAAACGTCATAAACAAGGAACGCAGTACTTACGTATGCTACTTTAAGGACCTAGAAAAAACAAATAGCGCTTTAACGGAATTGTTCGATTTGATTTGCGTAATAACACATTTAATGATTTCAAATGTATTACTTATAAAAGCAAAATTATTAGCAGCTTGTGCTGAACTAACGATAGACTTGTGAATACCGTATTGAGAGTCCTAAAATTATATCGGACTTTCTTGGCCAATTACACATGGGAGGACGAAGGAATGTGGTAAACTTGTAATGAACGCTGTTTAAAACTATTTGCTTGATTTACTACTACTATCAGTTCGTTTCTTCGTATTGAGTTTAGTCGTGACGTCATCAGCATCATTTGGGAAAACTATTCAGTATATGTGTCCAGCCAAGAAACTACACTGTTGCTTTTAATGTTTAAACAACATATACGAGGGCATCTAGCTCCACGCAATGGCTTTGGATGTTGCATGAATGGGCAGGTCCGTCCAGGTGAGTACCACGGCCTCACAGAAGACCGGCGTGAAGTGGAAGTGTTGCACTTCTGCGTTTCGTTTGGTGTGTGTGGTAGAAGGCCTACTTTATTAAAAGATGGCAACGCATCTGCAACCCTGCGGGTGTTGCAAATGTCCATGGTTGCTTGCTACCTTCACACATGAAAAAAAAATACGAATAAAAGCAGAAAGCTGACGTTAATAAAACACTTTATTTCTACTTACGCCGCGACCTTGGTATTTCTGGAAGACAGAAAATTATTTTTAAGTGGAACAGTTCTGTGTTGTAAATGGAACTATTTTACGACAGTTAACGCGTTTCATTTGTGTGACGATTGGTAACGTTTCAAACTCTTGACAGTATGCATGGTTACGAGACAGACTGAGTTTTATGTCCTACAGTTATAATTAATCAAAAAAATCATTATCGGTTAAGAACAATGCTAGTCCGATAAAACTTGGTTATTCCCGTAGCTGATGGTAGCGGAACTATAGAGTACAGTCTGCAACTTAGCCGAGACGATATTGCCTAAGTTAGTAGCGAATAATACAGCGGGCCGATAAAGTTTAACAGATAAAGTTATATTGGCCCTACTGCATCGATAACTTTGCGTAAATAGGGTAAATTATTTTTTTATGAGAAGTTACACGAAGCTTATACATTTTAGAAGAATTTAAAAAAGAGACACAACACAAGTTGCGTTATTGGAGGCAGAGGGCTTAACACATTTATTTGTTATGGAATAAATTGACAGATAGTGCAAAATAAAATACTCACCGTTGACAGCTGCTCCAATTCCTTAGCGAGCAAATCCAGTTGCGAGTTCTGAAAAAGACGAACAATACATGACATTTAAACAATTCTGTAAAATTAAAAATACTTGAACAAGTGCCAGTCAGACTCGCGTAAAAAGGGTCCCGTACCATATATACCATACCGTATCTATAAAAACGGCAAAAAATTATGTGTATTGTATGGGAGCCCCATTTAAACCTTTACTATTCTATTTTAGTTTGATGTTATAGCGGCAACAGAAATAGATCATCTGTGAAAATTTCAACTGTGTAACTATCACGGTTCAAGAGATACAGCCTGGTTACAGACGGATAGAAAGCATTTAATCCACATTCCTCACTAGTTCTTTTCTAAAAACTGAATAAAATGAAAAATATTTAAGGGGGCAACTATACAGCAGACACGATTTATTGGCCATGTTTATAGATAACACTCGCACTTGACGGGTTTTAATGTAATGACTTAGTATTGCCATAACACTATTTGAATTCCTTTTTTCTTTTTTTTTCTTTTACCTTTGCATCATCCAACAACACGTCCTTCGGGCCAACCTATAACACAAGTAAGAGTTAGATTTTTTTTTATTTTGAGAAAAATTTAGACAGTAATTTTATTTTTCAAATATTCTGAACCGATATAAAAACTCCTTTGTATACCTCAGCATTTGGTTTATAAAATCACGTCGCGACGAAAACGTGAGTTGTCATATTGTGACGTGATTTTTATCACAGAGAAGATAACATTTCTGAAGCAACTATGTAAATGTCGTGCTCAGATAGATATTACTCGAATTAAATTCATGATAAAGTTTTCTTGTACTGTTTTTGCCGTCACACGAACAGCAGGCGTTAATAAATAAACCGATAGACAGACCGATCTACTGCAATCTAATAGCGAGTCGAATGGTCAAGAGTTCATATACATGTACATTATAGTATGTGCTAATTTATCTTTGTTTGAAAGTTAAATAAAAAAACCTTATTGGAAGCCTCCACTTCATATGTGTCCCTTACTACGTCCTGAAACAAAGTTTAACTTAAGTGGTTTATCACAAACAAAGCATAATTCAAACACATCTAGGTTCATAAGATTTCAGATGATTTGAAAAACTCAAATATTCGCTTATCCTTAATATTAACTACAAGATTGTCTTTAAGGATTCAATAGCGTGTGGTTTAAACTTAAATTAATGGCCTCTCGAATATTTATATGAACATTCATGGTTTAATTAAAAGTATCCAATGTCCTTAAAAACTCATAAAAAAGTAATCATTTTAAGGTGACTTTTACTACAAGTGTTCATGTAGATCGAGTAAAGTGATAAGTTATGTCAGCGGCCAGTTAGTTATCGTTATGTTGGCACTTATTATCATTCATTAGTCTTTTACAGCGGCTGCCATTTAAATCATGACGAAATAATTTTAACTTTATTTCATTAGTTTTTATAATTCTTATCTTTGCACTTAAGATGAAGCATTCGAAATTTGACCAAAAGTTTTTCGCTTTATTCCTAAGTACTGTCACGACTAAGTAAGGACCCTATTACTAAGACTGCGCCGTCTGTCTGAAGATCTGTCCGTTCGACGCTTGGCGGCGAAAAACTTTTCGTTCTTTCTTCTATAAATTTTAATAACAGAATAACTCTAGATTAGCAAAAATAACTCTATTACTTTAATATTTGAATCTGAAGGATTATTTTAGGTATGCTTCAGTCGAAAAAATATTGAATTCTTACTCTCAGCGAGCCGAGATCATCTCGGTTGCGGCGGTCATCTCGAAGCTGTTGAAAAATTAATTCCAAATGTAAAATCTAGATTAATCACAAAATTTACTCTTTATGTCAAGATAAACACTACCTTAACCTAGTACTTAGTAACCTTGTACAAAGGATTTGTCTTAAGTAATCTTCTATTGTATTTTTTTCTTTTAGAATAGCTCGATTTAGCTCGTCCAGGTAGGTACCATGACCTCACAGAAGACCGGCGTGAAGTGGAAGTATAATACTTTCACGTTTCGCCTGGTGAGTGAGGTGGCCGGAGCCCAATTTCCAAAAGGTTGTCAACGCATCTGCAATACTCGCGTGTAGCAGATGTCCATGGGCGGCGGTATTCACTTAACATCAGGTGAACTGTCTGCTCGTTTGGTAAATTTTCACATAAAAAAAAATACACTACACTATTACATAGTGTAAAACAAATTCGTCCAAACAATTCGAACAAATTCTCTCCCTATGAAAGAAAGAAAGAAAGAAAATCTCTTTATTTGACATCACTTAACAAAAAATACATATTCAAAACATAAACAGAAAAATTGTGACATCAAATAGGAACTCCTATGCATGCTTAGATCTTTAAAACTACGCAACGGATCTTGATGCGGTTTTTTTACTAGATAGAGTGATTCAAGAGGAAGGTTTATATGTATAACTAGCGACGCGCTCCGGCTTTGCACGTGTGCAAAGTTTATAAGTTTTACATAAAGTATTAGTATTACAGCGGTACGACTTTGTTTTATACTATGTAATGATACATTGCATCCGTGCAAAGCCGGTGCGGGTCGCTAGTTTATGATAAAATAAATATGTGCGCAAATTGCCTAGAAAACATTTACATTGAAGTACCGTTTTAATATATTTATATGAAGTATTATATAAATATATAAAAAAATGTACTTCGATAATTATTCTTCCGGATAACGCTCCTCATGTTTACTTTATCGGAACGAGATATAGATTATCTAAATGGTATTTTATGGAATATATGAATTGTTGTCTATAATCTATACAGATAAATAAAATTGGAGTGTCTGTTTGTAATATTAAAATAACCGCTTTTTACTAAATGCATATGGATTTATACACGGTACATGTACCAAAATAACATTTTTTACAATTTTTGTCTGTCTGTCTGTTTGTTTGTTCCGGCTAATCTCAGAAACGGCTGGACCGATTTGGACGGGACTTTCACTGACAGATAGCTGATGTAACAAGCAGTAACTTAGGCTAATTTTATTTTAGATTTTGCTTTATTTTCAATTCCACGCGACGAAGTCGCGGCCACAGCTATCATAAATAAATCTTAAACATTTGCGTATTAACTTACGTTATCATTCACACGGTTACGTTTCTGTAATAGTCAAATAATTGTTTAATATTAGTATAATTTCGTTTGACTTATTTATTGATACACTGCGATTGACAATCTTTGTTGGTACCAGAAGACTTCAATTGTTGGGTAGTTAGAATTTCAATACTGTCATTACATTACATTATTTAGATTCACTGGTGACTCGGTGCTGCAGTTGCTAAGCTATTGGATTCAGCACCGGAGGTCGTGGGTTCGATTCCAACACGGGACAAGATTTTGTGTGACCCGAAGATAACTGTTCCGAATTAGGGTGTTTATTCCTAAGAAGGGTATTGAAGTCAGCGGCCGGTTGTAACAACCTAGTCAATACCATTTACAACGTGACACACGCGGAGCCCCATCAAGGGCAAAGGAGAGGAGTAAAAAGATAGATAGAAGAAGTTGCTGAAGTTTACTTGATATTATATCCACAATGCTTATAGGTTTGCGCTTGCGTTTTCAAGCGGTAAGTTGCAACCTTAACTAGGTTGCAACTTACAACAGAATACAAAACTCAAAAGCATTAAGACACCTTCTTAAACTCGTCATTTGGAGTACTTCCACGGTTTACCCAGCACATGTGTGTAGAGTAGTTTCGCAGCAAAGATATTTTTTTAAATAATTTTTTCGAAAATATGCAGGTTTCCTCGCGATATTTTCCTTCACCGCTGAGCACGTGATAATCATCACTTAAAATTAACAATTTCATTGGTGCCGAGATCGAACTCAGGTTGCTCGAGTGCTTATATTGAAATAAAGGCGAGCACCTGGACACTGAGCTATCGCGGCTCGTACATATGATAATTCATTATCATATGTCATTGTCTGCAAGTTTTAGCTTATATACCTGGCCATCATGTTCGTCCACAAGCTGCAATTGAAAAAATTATAACATATAATTGCAGGGTCGCCTATTTGTAAATCATAAGAATAAATTATTGTTCACGGGTTAAAGGAAGACTTGGCAAAAGATGTATCTTGAAATATAAAAAGAGTAGGTTTTATAATAATTTTGAACACATAAAAACCGACTTCAAACAGAAAACTAAAAAAACATTGTCAACCCCTATAACATTTGAGGATTGCCCTCGATTTTTCTGGGTCGGGAAGAAGTAGTGAAGTGTACGTGTTATACCTCTTTTTTTTATGTGAGAAAGTGGCAAACGAGCTGGCGGTTCACCTGATGTTAAAAGATAACCGCCCTCCCATGGACATTTGCAACACCCTTAGGATTGCAGATGCGTTGCTACCTCTTAATAATGTGGGCCCCTGCTACCTCACTCACCAGACGAAACGCAGAAGTGCAACACTTTTAAATTACGTCGGTCTTCTGAGAGGTCATGGTACTAACCCGGACGGACATGTCCCATTCGTATAACAGCGAACACTGTTGCGTGGCCCTACCACCGTAAAAACTTCTGCGTTTTGTTTGGTGACTGAGGTAACAAGAAACAGTTTTACCAAAATGCGACAGCATATATGCAACACTACGCGTGTAGCAAATGTCCATGGCTGGCGGCTATCTCTTAACGTCACTTGAACCACTAGCTTGCTTGCCACCTTCTCTTATAAATAAGATGTTAGAAATTCTTAACGAATGTTTTAACTACAAACATCTTTGGTCTTTAGCTTAAACAAAGTTTAGGTCAAGTTATAACAAATACTTACTTTCAGACTAAGTGTCTGGAATCTTCGGCTTTCCTGTTGGGAAAAGAAAATTTTTAGAAATTCTATTGAAGTCCTTTTTTTTTACTGTACATATTATTATAGTGTGTAATTTAAGTCGGATTTTCTGTACAGCCATCGATATTTTAAGTATTTTAAAAAACTAATATCTCAAACTAAATCTTTATTTTTTCCAGTTGTTCCTCGATCACGATGCCAATCCCATTGGAGTGTTTGAGCGTTCCCGATCACGAAAAGTGCTTTGAACTTGTTCGAGAGGTCAATGAAAAAACACGTAAGATTCTCGTGTGAAATTGATGAAATCGATTACAATTAAATATCACAGTAGAAATTTCAACTGAATGATGCTGATGAAATAGATTTCCATTTCATCAGCATCATTACTATCATCCAACTGTGCTTGTCCTACATTGCGATGGGCCATACGAAAACTTTTCTTCTCCATTGCTTGTTAGTTCTACGAGCTATATTGCTGGTCCATTGCTCCTTGTTCTACCTTTGTATTTAATTTTACAGTGGCGTTTTCGTAGAATTTGTGACTGTTAAAATTTTTATCAACTCAGAAACCCTTAAGGGTATCGGGAGTTACAAATTGTTCCCCATCGAATAGAATTACTTTGATGGCACTTGTTTTCATAATTTGCTTAGCGGTAACATCTTTCAAAGACCCTCTTTTTATGAAGATGAAAATTTAATACCTTTCAGCTTAAAAGTTTATTGGATTTTTTAAGAGGGAAGAGGCAATCATGGACAAATGTGATCTTAAACCAGAATAAATTCAACTGTGGTGTCAGGTGATCATATTGTATCAGGTTACACTATACTTTATATAGACATTTTTTGGCCTGTGTCCCCCTAATCCCAATAGGATAATTGCTTAAATGATTAGGCTTTTTGTTATAAAATGTACATTATAAATTGTCAAAAATTGCGATTGTTCAGGTATCAATTATCCAAATTATGGCTGTGGAGAAACTAAGGAGGGATATGCAGTGAGATAGAAGTATTCGGCAAACTGTTGCTTGCTGTGACACGTGCTTTCTATTTTACGAGCCATCTGAATAACAAAAATGCAAACCTTGTCCAAGATGTCGTCATCTTGATCGTCGTCTGGCTGTAATGTAGAGAGAATATTGTTAATTGCTGCTAAATAGGTGACGGAACGAGAACACAGTCGATATTTAAAACTAAAACGAAGTGTCCAAAATATAGCAACGTTTTAATCTCTTTCAATTTAATTACTGAATTGTTAAATACAACGAAGTGATCTTAAACTAGTATAGTGCCATAGTAATATAACAATAATAAAATATCTTTATTCACATAGACGCTTGCGCTTTTTTATGAAACGTCGAAATTTTACAAAGAAATTAATACGTTCTTAAGTTACCACTTGTTCGGAAAGCAGTTTCTGTTGAGAAGAAACCGGCAAGAAACTCAACAGTTGTTCTTTTTAAAAAAGTCAGTTTACAATATAATGGTACAGGCATAATATTTTTTGTTTTAGCCTACGTGAGTATCAACAGTATTAACTCCACACATTGGCGTCGTAAAGATATTCCGCAATGGTATAATATGCTTTAGCCATAAGTTTACTTTTAATTTTTCGTTTAAATTTATCAAGTGGCAGACTTATTATCGACTGTAGGATTGTATTATACATGCGCACACTTTGCCCCATGTATGTTTATTTTTGTAGACGAAACAATGGCATACTTAGTTTGTCCCTATTTCTAGTATTTAGTTTATGTCTTTCACTATTCTTTAGATAATTATTAATATTATGTTTAACATTCAAAATATTACGATAAATATATTGAGAAACAACAGTGAGGTACCTATATATAATTATGAGACAACGTAATATTGCCAGCACCGTAATTTTATCTTAATAACAAAGTTACAGTTAACTGTTATATAACACGGCTCCAATTATACAACTCTTAGATAATTTCTGACGTGGCAAAAAGGATCTCAAAGGTCCTTATTGAAACTAAATGAACCCTTTTGTCTAAAAATATTGCCCCTCAAACAAGAAGTTTTGAGATTTTAAAGAAAACTTTCGTGTAAAACATCAATGTATTGAATTGAATTGTAATCATAGATTATGGCAAAATAGAGCATAACTTAAATAAATTACCGAGCTTGAACTTGTAACAGAAAGAGCAAGAAAAGAAATTAGTGCTAACCTCTGCATTTAAGATTGATGAAAGACGTCAAGATTTTCGTCGGTGTGGCAATCAGCCGTTTAGCTTAGTGCCTAAAGCGTCAGGCCGCGAACGCCGAAGACGTGGGTTCGATTCCCACAGCGGCGACAATCTTTTGGTACTTTTTCTACAAATTTCAAGGCAGGAAAGGAATTAAAAAAACTTACAGATGGCGACGACAGGGCGACAGCCACGCAGAGACCGAAGAAGACCAACCACTTCATGACGATGCCAAGGGGACACACTACGATTCCTTCAACCGAGCGGTCCGTATATAAACCCGTAGAGTAGTCACCGTGCCTAATCACCATTAATGAGTACACAGAATAATAATCGAATGTGGAATATAACGTTGTTCGATTAACGCTTTTTAATTCCTTTCGACTCGTTAATTGACGAATTGCCGCGATAATTGGAATCGGTCGAGAATCGGTCACGGGCTTCCGCACATCCATATGGGTTTATGTTCCGTTTGCTGAGATTAAATTGGGTGACGGGGGAGGGGCGATTGCTTTGTTGCTAAGCGTTCCGCGTAAAGCAAATACACCTTTTGTTATTACCGATTGGTTGGCAAGACGAGCTAGATAAACAAAAGCTTAATATGTTGCCTTTACCTTGAATTGATAAGGTTTTTAATCCGCTTAGATCGAGTCATACAATAAACAGAACCGTAATGTGTTTTACTGCTATTAAAATGAAGTATCGTAATTTAATAAAAAATACTTAATGACTGAAAAACCTTTCTTAAAAAAAAATTGGGCAATATTTTACTAAGGAATTGTAATTTCCCATTTTCATGCTTTGTCCAACATTTATGTTACCAACTAAAAGGTTTTATCTACACTCTCTACAGATGTTACATGTGAATCTAATATCTGTAGAGAGTATCTTAGTGCTAGTAAATGTGATTGTGACATCAAAATTATATTTTAAATTCTCCTTGCAGACCCTATAGTTTATATTAGAATATCTTTGATTTGTTGATATTAATAAAGGCAAATAAGTGATTCTTTCTGATATACTAGATTCTTATTCAGCTTAATTTCTGTGTTTAGAGTTGATTATAATTGTTAACCATTCTTTGTTACCTTTCCGTGATGTTATGTGGCGTCATGTGCCAGCAAGAAATATTACAATAGCATAATGATAAGTTCAATAGATTACATAAATAGAAATATGAACAATATTTACAAGAACTTAACAGATTTATTGCAGAAGTTGTAGAACAAATTTTATGAGGTTTAATTGGATAAAATATATTTTTATTAATAATTTTGTTGTCTTCGAGTGAATATTACAGATTTCCACTTATTATAAACCCGTCGGTGATCATCTATAGTATGCATTATGGATGACCATCTGACCGAGATCTTCTAGAGAGGGAGAGGCAATTTTTTCCTTAGAAACCGTTACAGCAAATCAATACGGGGTGTACTGCTTGTTATTCTCCACGAGTTCAGTTCTGTTGATTGAGCCGCGATAGCTCAGCTCGCTTTTAATTCAATACACTGAGAAAACTGAGTTCAAATCGCTCACAAATGAAGTGCTGACTTATCACGTGCTCATCGGTGAAAGAAAACACCGTGAGGAAGCCGGTATATTTTCGGAATAATAACAAAAATATTATTTCGAATACATGTGAGTCTACCAATTCGAGGTGCGGTCACGTGGTGGACTATTCCCTAATACTCTCTGTATAGAGAAGGCCTTTGCCAGCAGTGGGACATATAGGCTGTTACTTCATTTACTGCTACATTAATATTGGTAAACATATCTTCATCACATTGTGGCCGCTTATGACTCTGAAATCTTCGTTTTAGTCGCCTTGTACGATAGACAGAGGATGCGCTATCATATCCGATATTGCATGTCCGTACTATTTTAAAAATTGCAGCGTTAAGGTTCGTAACACCCGATTAAATACCATCTCACGGTAAAAATAAATAAAAGTCTATTTTGGAAAGGGACGCTTGAGCTTTTGAATGGTTTTTCGCTTGATTTAAACATATTCGTTGAATTAATGAAGCCATGCCAAAGGACTCCGTAGAGAGCTCCGATGCTCGATCGAAATGTGCTTGAAATATTGACTAGCTGTCTGAAATACTTTAATAATATTGCCTCTGTTGCTCGCATTGGATAGATTGGGACATGTTTTATGAAAAAAAAAAAAGGTCGAAACTTACCTGGAGTTGTATTTTATCGGAATTTCGCAAGTTTTCCGCGATTCGATTTAAAGTTTATTTAGATTGCAATATTTCATTTTAGCTGGCAAATTGAGGCATATAAGTAAGCATTCTTTGAGTTAATTATCAGTCTAATGACATAATTACGAAATAAAATGTTTTCATTAAAATAAACGTTTCACGTTCAATTCATCAAAGAAAATAAGTGTCTCATTTAACAGTCTTTAATTACCCGCTTCTTGAAGATGAAAATCAAGGGCATCTTGTGTTTAATTATCTTCACGGAGTCAAAAAGTAATTTTTCGCTACTTCTAACATTATAACTTAATGTTAAGAAAGGTTTGTATATTCAAAACAAAATAATAAATATGTATTTCAGAACATATTTTTACAAAAAGTTTTTCTGCATACGAGCTGAATGAAAACTCTCTGGAATGAATAACAAATAAAAGCTATTAAAGGTCCAAAATGAATATATTGTTTCTCAAAATATTCTCCCCTTGCGTAAATGCACTTTTTCGTATGATTCAACCTATTTTGAAAACGTTTGTGCAGCTCCTCCGTGGTGACCTCATAAACGTGTTTTTCATACTCTTCGACAGCCTAATCTGGTGATGAAAATCGTTGACCGCGTAATTGATTCTTAATTTTTGTGAACCGAAACAAACCATGAAGTGCCAGGTCGGGATTGTATGCAGGTTGGCTCATAAGTTCTACGTTTTTCACCTCAAAAAATGTTCCTTCTCTGTCTGGCCATGTTGGAGCGCGTAATAAGTCAGCACTTAAAATTCGTTGGTGACAGCACCACGGATCGAAATCAGGTTGCTCGAGTACATTGAATTAAAAGTGAGCGCCCGGACACGGAGCTGTTACGGCTCACATATTTTATTTTATTGTTAAATTATACATATATCATTTATTATTATATCATAATATTATATAATACTAGCGACCCGCCCCAGCATCACACTTTAGACAGCGGAACGACTTTGTTTTATACTATGTAGTAACGATGCATACACTCGATTGTAGTACTCGGCCGGTAACATAAACTGCTTTCATTAATCTATATAGAGCAGGGAGTCTTTTCTTATAATATTCCGTGGTTGATGCAATGCTCGTAATGGTGCGGTTAGAAGTTTATTCGGGCTCAAAGGGCGTCCCTTAATTATGCACGAACGTAGGTACAGTTCGGCGGCGGGTAGTCCCGTTACGTGACCGACCCAGCCCTAATCCCCTTTTAAAATTCACGAATCCCACATAATCAAAATGGTTTCATAATTTTAAGTTGAGTTTCTAAAAGTGCGATAAATATTACTAAGCGTGTTTGGTGAAGTGAGATTAGGCTAGATTATGCCAAATTTGTAGATTTTTTTAAAGCCTTAATGTCCGCCGCCAATTGACATTTGCAACACCCAACTATGGTTTCGGTTACTTCACTCACCAGACGAAACTCAGAAGTATAAAACTTCCACTTCCTTGTCACAGATGACTCCGTGGCATAGTTGCCAAAGTATTGGCTTCGGCGTCGGGGGTCGTGGGTTCGATTCCCACACGGGACAACTATTTGTGTGACAGACAGGTAGTTGTTTCGCATCTGGGTGTTTGTCCGCGTGAAATTTATGTTTGTAAAACGTCCCTACAACACAGGATAATGTTATCCTAAAGTAAGGGCAATGTTTTTAAAAATCATTAAAAAAAAAACAGATCCCTCTCCAACGTCCTTGTCTCAAACATTTACCAAGAGCCAACTGGGAAGGATGGTGAGAATCACCGTTTAAATATTATTTAAACGAAGTTCATATCGAAAACATTAATTAACTAATCTAATGCTTATTTAACTGCCGTGATAGCTCAGTGTCCGGGCGCTCGCCTTTAATTCAATATACTCGAGCAACCTGAGTTCGATCCGCGGTGCCGGCACCAATGAAGTTTTTAACTTTAAGTGCTGACTTATCAGGTGCTCCGCGGTGAAGGAAAACATCGCGAGGAAACCTGCATATTTTCGAAATAATAACAAAAAAATATATATTTCGAATATATGTGAAGTCCGCCAATCCGCAGTGGGGCCGCGTGGTGGACTATGCCCTGATACCCGCTGTATAGAGGAGGCATTTGCCCAGCAGTGGGACACGTATAGGCTGTTGCTTTTATTTAACTGTGGTAGGGTCCACGCAACAGTCTTCGCTGTTGAGCGAATGGGCAGATCCCTCCAGGTAAGTACCACGAACTCACACAAGACCGGAGTGAAGTGGAAGTGTTTGTTACCTTCTCACATAAAAAAGTGTACAAAAAAATCACATAAGTAAGTCAGAGACATGAAGTTGCTTCTGCTGATGCATGATTGGCTCACTCGAACTGAGAGTGTAACAGAATGAAGAAAGAAGATAAAAGTACTCTTACATTTTCTCCGTTTTTCTTAGGGGCTGGTGACGTAACTGGGGATTTATGTTCTAACAAGTTGGGAATGATTAGACCAACAACCGTGGTTATGTGTTACCACTAGGTTGAAAGCATACTGGTTTGCCAGATTTTTAAAAATCAAATCTTAAAAATAACCCGGCCGAGTTCGAGTGTATAAAAACGGCAAAAAAATCATGTCTGTTGTATGGGAGCCCCACTTAAATATTTTTATTGTTTATTTTAGTGTTTTTATTATAGCGGCAACTGTGAAAACTTCAACTGTCTAACTATGACGGTTCATGAGATACAGGCTGGTGGCAGCCAGCGAAGTCTTATTAAAGGGTCCCGTTTTACCCTTTGGTAACGGAACCCTAAAAACGTTGAATCTGTTTGATCCAATTCCAATTCGTTCAAATAAATTTCTAGAAATAATGAATGAGACTCTCAGTGTAATGTGGAGGCTTTCATTCGAAGTGATTTGGGTTACTTGAAAATCGCACTTGAAACTTGCAGGAAGTATTTCGGCCAGTCCACCAGATTCCATTTTCAAATACTTGAACTTTAGTTTAGTTTAAGGGCAACGCAAAGTAGGGTTTAGTTTTATAAGAAGTTACTGAAACATCACGAAAGTGTAATAGAAAATGTATAAAATTAAGTTTCAATTGCAGAAAGCACTTGATTGTGGTTTCCTGGTGAACTGTCTGTAGTTATTGGAAGAACGGTGG